AAACGGACGTGATTCTAGGCGCCGATCATTACAGACTTGGTTCTCGACCGGTACATCTTCGACCACGACGAGCAAACAAAAGTGAACCATGTCGACTTCAATTGAACTCAAGGCGAGCCAGTTCAAAGTTCACTCCGTTACCGTTTTCCAAGCGGACAGAGCGGAGGTATCGCGCATGTTCGACGTCCAGCTCAAGGTATTTATGCGTCCGAATGCGATACATGCTGACTCTAGTCTATAGGAGGGTCAAAATGAGATTGATATTTCCCAACTACCGACCGTTCTAGACGAAGACTCGATTCGTGTTGACGGTATAGGCGAAGGAGCAATCATCTCCGATGTGATCTATCACCCACCTGCGTCAATTCACTTGAATAAAGAACATGAAAGTGCTGTTCAAGACCTGCAAAAGGCAAAGACAGTGCTCGAGCAGGAGCTCCGCGTCTACAGGGCACAAGAAGCTATCATGGCCAAGTATTCAGATACCCTCAAGAGCGCGGATACCACCAGCATACAACTTGGCGAATTCTTGGATCTCTACTCGGAGAAACAAACCGCTATAAATCAGAAGGTCTCGCTCTTGCAAGAGAAAATCAAGGGAAAGGAAGATGAAATAAGCGAGCAGAGAAAGATTCAACTCATAGATAGTGAGGGCAAAAAGAGGGCGGTTCGAATTACCATTCTGGTTCACGCAGCAAAGGACGGAGCTGCCAAAATCTGTCTCAAGTATCGTATGTACCCTTTATGTCTTTTACAGAAACTAACACCCTCTCTCAGTCGTCTCGCGTGCCTCCTGGGCGCCACTCTACGACCTCCGAGCCTCTATCGGTCCGACCAAGACGGAAATATCCCTCCAGTACCGAGCTACCGTGACTCAACGGACAGGAGAAGACTGGGGTGACGTTGAGCTCACACTCTCGACCGCTTCTCCTCAGCTTGCTAGTGAAATTCCAAAACTCACTCCACAATGGCTGAACCCCATTGTGAATTATTGGGCAGGAAAAGGGAAACAGCTTCATCTTGATAGTGGTAGAGGATTTGCGAAAGCCTCACCTCGTATGGCGAAACGTCGCATTCGTAGTCGATCTTCCGATGAAGAGGACGAGGAAGAAGCAGAAGAAGATATTAGAAGACCGTTTGATATCCCTCAGGCACTTTCTATTGAAGGGGCAATTTCTACTTCATTTGTCATTGATGGGCTATCCACTATTCCTAGTGATACAGACTCGACCTCCCAGGCTCACAAAGTGGCCGTTGCCGTCGTCGACCTGACCGCTGAACTCGAATGGATCGCTGTTCCAAGGGAGCAACCGAGTGCATTCCTACAGGCCCGCGTCAAAAACACGAGTCAGTACATGTTCCTTCCTGGCCGAGCAAACATCTTCCTCGACGATAATTTTGTCGCTAAATCTGAAATCGAGGTGAGCCTATATTGTCTTCAGAGAATTCATCTGACTTGAATGTAGCATGTCAGCCCCAATGAGAGCTTCTCCTGTTCGCTCGGTGTCGATCCGCAAGTGAAGATGACCTATCATCCAAGGACCAAGAAGACACGTTCACAAGGCGGCCTTCTGTCAAGCAAGGCGATCACCACGGCATATCATCAAAAGATGACAATCAGAAATACACGTAGCACCCCCGTCAAGCGTCTGCTCGTACGCGATCAAGTGCCGGTGTCTGGAGACCAACAAATCAAAGTGACGCTGCTAGATCCATCCAACATCGAGTTCAATGGTCGTAACACCATTTCCGCGGCCACTGATACTACCAATAAGCGCTCATCGATGATGGTTGGTAGCGAAAACAGATTGCAGGTGCCGAAAGAGGTGCAGATTGGGCGTGGAGTTAGTGTACGCTGGAAGGTTAGCGATGACGAATTAATGTCGGATGCGGCGACTAGTGTCGGACTGGATGGTGCTCGCGAAGGCATGATCGAGTGGGTGTGCGAGCTTGGAGCTGGTCAGGCGACAGATCTGACACTGTCCTGGGAAGTAACGGCACCACTGGGAATGAATTGGGGACCTCAATAGGGATACGTTGGACTTGGAGTATATGTTAGCATTCACTATCCTACTCAAGGCAAATGCTTCTGTTCTAATCTGAATAATGACCGTCAGTGGTATATTCCCGGTCGTAGTATCACTTTACTAGCACAAATCCTGTTCAAGCCACCATTTTCCCCACTTGACTCTGAGTCTTGGTAAGTTACGTAATGCGCGGGCTCGATACGTCGGCGTAATCAATTTCTTCGTTTCCTTGTATCGCTTCCCTTTTAATAAACCCTGGGGAGTAATGAGAAGCTCCTCGAGGCGGGGAAGTATCATATTCTTTCCGTCGAAGGGAGCACTCATAGCCTGTGTAAATTCGGCAAGGGAAATTTCTATTACGCCAACACGCAGCTACCTCAAGTTTGCTCCGATTGCCGCAAGCCAAGACATACCGTATTGCAAATTAAAGATGCATAAAGAGGTGCATAGGGTCTCCAACAGAGGCGAATGTTCGTGGCCAATACTTGTTTCTCCGACGGCGAGATGGCAGCTATGAGCTTCCTCTGAGAAGTAAATTACAGTGATCCATCACTTCGAATCTTGCCCATAAAGAAGGTATAGAAAGCGTTAAACCTCTAAAATACCCATTTGTATGGCTGAGAGAGATGATATCGGGTAAGATGTGACGATCTTGGGATAAGAGCGAACACACGTGACCCAAGACCTCTACAGGAAACATATAGATATTTCCATATGTCGTTTGTCGTAGTAGACATGCGTCGAAGATGTCGACTGAGATCGATATCAGCCATTCCATTGTGAAGGTGGCGTTCAAGATGAGATTGAGAACACGAACGTTCAACAAAACTATATATTAAGTTTATTGGATAACAATTCCTTTAGAAAATCTCCCATATCATGATGCTATTCGACGCAAGGAGCGGAATGGACTTGACGGAACTAGAATAGTGGCTGACAGCAGCTATGCCTAGCAACACAATTGTACGCCGACACGAGCCCCTAAAGCCACCGTAAACCTAGTTGAACCCGTAGTCTCGGCAGACCGAGAACGCTGCGAGCTTGGGACATTTGGGTGACAAGGTTGATCGCTTCTTGCACAGATATTCGACCAGTGTTATCGAGAGAAGTGATGTAGAGTTTCTCCAAACACGGGAAGATTGACTTTCCTCCAAAACCTACTCCCATCCTGAAGAGGAACCGGCTAAGCGACTGGTCATACATGCTGATATGCAATTCCTTCGGATGTTGGCCACTTATTGCGATCCAGCGCATACAACGCTCCACATTGTCTATACAGAGAGAAGCTATCAACTTCTCTAGATACGTCGAGTCTTCAAACCCAAGGCTGACATCTGCCGATCGATAGCACCAGCATAATTTGCCTTTGAACTCGAGCACTCTCAGTGCTGGAAAACGAAACCGGATCATGAGTTGCGGGGTTCGGATCCAAGTGAAACCGAGGTGCAAGACCTGAATCGAAGTAGATAAAAGCTCCTCCATTGTGTCCAAGGATGTTACACCCCCTTCGAGGTGTATGAGATTTGGGCAATGGAGGAGAATCTGTTGAATCTCGCTTGGTATCCGCCTAGGAATGACCTCTGCAATGCGCAGAGTCTGTAGTTTGTATTGCTTTGTATTTTCGTGCCATTGAATTCTTGCTATCCGCTCGGGAACGTATGGCGGTTCCCACACGAATTCAATGAGATGCGGGAAAGCGTCGAGGATATATGAAAACGAGATTGATGTCGTTTTTGTCGTACCGGCGACATGTAGGCACCGGAGGTCGGTGAAAACGCCGACCACTTCTGCGAGGTGTTGTTCTGGCACGAATGCGTCATAAATACGCGTTGGATCAACTTTATAGTAGATTGCAAGGTCCTTTGCCCGTTTTCCTCCGTTTTTCTGTTTTCTGCTAGCAATGCAGCCTGGTTGGTTGTCCGAGCGTCGAATGTACTCCTCCAGACGCTCTGTGCAGTGATCCATGAGGTCAAAATGTGCCCATAGTGAAGGCATAGCCAATGTTAAAGACCTAAATTGCGATGTAGTGTGACTGAGGGCAATAACGTCAGGTGAAATGCAGCGATCTTGTGCGAGACAGGCGAAAATGAGCAGCCAAACTTCGAAAGGAAGGATGTAAGGATTCGAGGGAGTACTCTCCAGCAACACTTTGGGGTGGAAGACGTCAACGGAGATGGATGTTAGCCAGTCCATCATAATGGTCGGTTCTCAAGATGGAGCTCAAGCTGTGGACACGCAGAGAGCCATGATTCGGGGTCTCTCAACAGGTTTGAATAGAATTTCTCTATATTTCTGCATCCTAATCTACGATCATTTATCATGAATGGCGAATGATTCCATTACGCCTTAATTTGTGGTCATCGTGCTTGCAATCAGAGGTTGGTTCGAGTCTAGCGAGCGCACTAGAGGCCCGTATCAGTGGAAAGAGCTTCACCCTCGTCAAACCAAACTGTAGCCGCTGCCTCGTGCGGAGAGTGGCAAACACCGTCTCACATCCTGGAACCATCCACTTCGACAATGTCGTCGCGAAAAGCAACTCCGCGGATCAAGTTTGCCATATATCCGCCGGACACGTCTCCTTCCGCCAAAAGCTCATTACGCAAGAGGGGCCAAACGGACAACACGATCAACACGGCCGGCACCGTCCTCAACTTGGCCGCGGATCTATCCGAGGCATCGGATATACTCTCTCCTCTCAAAGCAGCCTGTAAAGCCACTAAAACGATCCTCGATGCCATCCAGGTAAAGTCGGCGTGGCTGAGATTCCTTTCATCGATTAAACATTGCCAGGCTGTCAAAGACAATCAAGAGGAATGGAGTGACCTAACGGAGCGTCTTGAAGAATACATGCTTGGCATAGAGAGGCAAATCGACTCATTCGAAAAATATCCTGCAGAAGACAGGGTCGTAGATGAAGCATTCAGGCAACCACTTATTCACTACGTTGAGTACGTGAGCATTCTCACGTTTCTGCGATATGTTGACTAGTTCAGACTGCTCGAAGATATATATAGCACCGTCACCAATTCAAGGGAGAAGCGTACTCGCAGCACACTCAGCTTCTTCAAGGCGTTCACTAAAGTGAAAATGGATGCAGAAATACTTCGTAAATTCAACCGTGACATTGAGGATGGCAATAGGCAACTATTGGTATGAACTTAACCGGTTATTCCCGTGAGCTTACCGTAGACAAGGAGCAATTGGGTCTTTTCACCGCCTATCGGATTCAAGTCATCGAAAAAAATACCCAAGCTACAAAAGCCGACCTGGAGGTCACCAAAGCCAACGTAGAGCTTACCAAGGTCAATATGGAATCGACCAAAGCTGATGTCCAGGTCACCAAAGTCAAAGTAGAGACGATCCTCTCAGATGGTAAGCGAAAGTTCTATCCGGGTTACTTGCTCAACATTGTTAGTTGATGCAAATGCTATACTCCAGCTGCCAATGGTCACATTTGCTGCATCTTCAGTTCATAATACCTGTCTCCAAGGGACTAGACAAGCCGTTCTCCAGGAAATCGACAGTTGGGCAAAACATGCAGAGTCCCAGTGGCCAATATTTTGGCTGTGTGACATCGCTGGCTCCGGTAAATCCACAGTCGCAATGTCCGTGGCTAAAGCATGGGCCACGGAGGGGACACTGGGAGGCCAATTCTTCTTTTCGTTGTCCAGCAGCGAAGGTTCAACTACCGAGAAGTTTTGCTCGACAATCGCCAGAGAACTTGCTCAGCGAATGCCCGAGCTAGCGCAGCACATTGCTGAGTCTGTGAAGCGAAATCCGGCACTTTTGAGGGACTCTTTGCACGATCAGCTTCGAATGCTGGTCCATGGTCCACTCCAATATCGACAGGGGCGCGTTTTCCTTGTCATTGACGCCATCGACGAATGTAAATCCGGAACGCAGCGAAAGGAGCTACTCGATAGCCTTGCTAAAATTGCTCAAGAGACCGATAATCTCAGAATATTCATCACCAGTCGACCAGATCCCGTCATCGAAGCCGTTTTGCGGCCACTCTCGATCAAAATGGAGTTGAAAGACCGACTGCACGATGTCAGCCATCACGATAACATTGATGACATTGCGACATACGTGCATCAATCGCTGAATGGAGTGCTATCGCAGGACAAGAGAGAGCGACTTGTCGAAAAGGCTCGAGGCCTCTTCATTTGGGCGAGCACTGCATGCCGAATGCTCATGGATGAAACGTCGTTGGACACCCCTGACACCGTATATAATCGCCTTATCTCAGTGAATCAAGCTGGAGATATAGACGAAGTATATCTCCTCATCTTCGAGCGCATAAACCCAAAATTTCGCCCATCTATGTGGCACATGCTCGCTCTGTTACTGGCAGCGTTTGAGCCCCTCACAATTAGCGACTTGGAGGATTTGTTCAAACACGCTGGAATCCAAGGCAGTGTCAAGACATTGGTGCAAAACCTTGGAAGCGTGCTCACGGAGGACGATGCGGTTCGATTTCGTCACCCTACCATCGTCGAATACCTTCGACGCTGTTCGACCGCTGCACTCACCAATGATCACGGTAGCCTCATCATCAACATGGCAAAGGCACACGGCCAAGCCGCATCATGGTGTCTCAAATGCTTAAAGTCGCCGAATGGAGGTCTCAAATTCAATATATGCCAACTCGAGTCGTCCTTCTACCTTAATCGACAGATTCTGGACCTCAGCACCCGAGTTTCGAAGTTTATTACTAAAAGACTTCGATATGCCAGCTCGCATTGGCTATTCCATGTAGCGAAAACCGACGACGACTGGCGACGTACGTTGAACAACGAAATTCAGCGCATTCTTCAGATGCCATACGTATTATATTGGATGGAGGTGCTCAGCTTGACTGGAGGAGTGCCACGGGCAATTTCCGGTCTTCGAGCTGTTATACGCGATGCAAAGGTGAGTTACCCGCAGCGATGAAACGTGAAATTTCACACAGAGTACAGCCTGAAGAAGATATTCGAAACAGCTTGACAGAAATTCGAAGGTTGATAATGGCATTCTCCATGCCAATTCAGGATAGCGCTCCACATATTTACATTTCGGTACTCCCTTTCACACCCAAAAAGTCAAATATTCAGCTTGAGAGGTTGAAGGAGTACCCGAACACCTTAATTGTGGCTCAAGGGCTCGAAGAGACTTCTCCTGGGCTTCCCAGAGCTCTGGGAGCCCACAACGGATCTATCTACTCGGTTTCATTCTCCCCAGACAGCTCGCGAATTGTCTGTGGGTCGACAGACAAAACAATTCGAATATGGGATGCAGACACTGGTCAGCTGTTGGGAGAACCCCTTCGAGGTCACGAAAACTCAGTCTTTGCCGTTGCATTTTCGCCAGATGGTTCACGCATCGTCTCTGGTTCGATGGATCATACAATTCGACTATGGGATGCCGACAGTGGTGAGCCGTTGGGAGAGCCACTCCGAGGTCATGGGAGCTCTGTCTGGGCCGTCTCATTTTCGCCAGATGGTCTACGGATTGTCTCAGGGTCGAAGGATAATACAATTAGACTCTGGGATGCGGATACCGGTGCACCATTGGGAGGGCCACTCGTCGGCCACTCTGGCTGGGTCAAGGCCGTCATATTCTCGCCGGACGGCTCACAAATCGCTTCTAGCTCGGATGACTGTACTATAAGAATGTGGGACGCAAAGACCGGACAGCCGTTGGGAGAGCCTCTTGTCGGTCATGAAGACTCGGTCAACGCCATTTCATTCTCGCCAGACGGCTCACGAGTCGTCTCTGGCCTGGAAGACGGTACAATGCAAATTTGGGACACAGAGACTGGACGGCCATTGGGAGAGTCACTCCGAGGTCACGGCGCCCGTATCACGGCTGTCGCATTCTCGCCAGACGGCTCAAGAATCGTCTCTAGCTCATGGGACAAGACAATCCGACTATGGGATGCAGACTCGGGTGAACAGTTGGGAAATCCACTCCGAGCTGACAACGGACCAGTCAACGCCTTTGCACTCTCGCCAGATGGGTCACTCATTGTGTCTGCATCAGGTGATACTCGCGCAACTTACCCTAGCATGGTGCATGAACTTCAACTATGGGATGCAAAGACTCTCCAGCCGTTAGGAGATCCACTCCTTGATCCACTCCTTGATCCTCATGTCTCAATTCTCACTGTTACATTCTCGCCAGACGGCTCAAGAATTCTCTCTTGCTCGGGTGACGGGAGGATGAGACTCTGGGATGCCGGTAGTGGTCAGCTGTTGGGAGAACCACTCGGCGACTCAGTCTGGGCCGCCGCATTCTCACCAGATGGACTAAGAATCGTCTCTGGATCGGGGGATAGTACAATTCAACTATGGGACGCGGATGCCGGAGCCCCGCTGGGTAGGCCCCTTGTCGGTCACGACAGCCCCGTCTGCGCCCTTGCATTCTCGCCAGATGGCTTAAGAATCGCCTCTGGCTTGGAAGACGGTACAGTGCAACTGTGGGACACAGAGACTGGACAGCCATTGGAAGACCTACTCTATGGCCACAATAGCATAGTTAGGAGCGTCGAATTCTCGCCAGATGGCTCAAGAATTATCTCTCTCTCAGATGAAGATACAATTCTAATGTGGGATGCAGAGACTGGACAGCAGTTGGGAGAGCCACTTGACGATTACGATAGCTCAGCCAACGCCATTTCATTCTCGCCAGACGGCTCACGAATTGCCTCTGGATCGAACGACTTTACTATACGAATGTGGGACGCAGAGACCGGAAAGCCGTTGGGAGAGTCCCTCCGAGGTCATAGCCACCGGATTACGGCTGTCGCATTCTCGCCAGACGGCTCAAGAATCGTCTCTAGCTCATGGGACAGAACAATCCGACTATGGGATGCAGAAACTGGTGAAATGTTGGGAGAGCCACTTGTGGGTCATGTAAGCATTGTCGAGAGCGTCAGATTCTCTCCAGATGGCTTACGAATCGTCTCTGGGTCCCGGGATGGGACGATTCGCCTGTGGACTGCGCACAACGGTAGGCATTTCATCAATTATACGACATAACTTGACGACTGTGATTAGCCGCACTCGCGACGAAGGTTAACCAGGACGACACCGAGCATTCGAGTCTCACGGAAGATGTAGAGGGTACTCCGTTAGAAATATCTGTACCTGGATTCAAGCAATGCTCGCTTTCACACAATGGTTGGGTCAAATCGTCCGCAAAATATCTCTTCTGGGTACCACCAAACAATCGCAATGGACTGATATATCGACACCTTCTGACTCTACCATTAACGAGCCCATACCGCGCAACCAGACTTGACTTTACTCGCTTCCAGTGTGGAGACTCTTGGACCAATGTTCGAAGCACCCGCTAATCATTTGTTACTGTTGATAAAATGTATGCAGTGCATGAATCTGAGAGTCCATTCTTGCGTCTGGCCCGTTGACGGAGTTCACTGTCCACTGTCATTTGGCGCGGCTAGCAACCGCCCACGACACTTGGACTCGACCATTCCCGCCGTCGCCTGTGCGCGCGCGTGCTCGACGTCCCTCCGCTTTCTAGTTGACTGGTCTCTCTTTCACTCGTTTTCACTCATTTAACCCTGTCGCTGCGCGCAACCACATTCATTTCACAAGCCTTTCAGCTGGCAATACTCTCCGTTAGACACCAACAATTCACATCCAATGATCGCACTCAAATCTACTGTTGTTGTACTATCACTCCTCGCCTCACAGGCAACCGCCGTTCCCACTTTCGACGCAGCGTCCCCCGCGAGCAACGAAGCCAGAGGCCTCGTAGATGACGCAACGAATGCTATCCAGCGTGTATGGGAAGGTATAAAATGCCTCGGAGACTGCAGGAAGAGCTGGGGATGGACTGGCAATCATTTTGGTGGAGATCCATGGGGACCGCCTTTGAAGATTGGCGATCCAGTCCCTTATACGCCCTCCGAGGACTCTTCTGGCATTGTTTCTACGACGACTACGGCGCGCTCGACTACCCGTACATCGAGCGCAGAGGGTGGGTTCGGAATCCTCAACGTCGACACCTCGCGGACCACGCTGGTAGATGGCTCGAACGTCGAATTCTCTGTATTCAACGTCCCGACCCTTACTAGGTAAGCTAGCGTGTACTTTAGGACTATTGGAAGCTCACCTACGACCTATGATCCAGGAGCACCTCGACTTCGACCATTGTCTTACCCACTTCGACAACGCCACCCCCTCCTCCTCCTGAGCCTACCACTACGTTCCAGGAGCCTCAACCTAGCCCCGAGCCTCAACCGTCTAGCTCGCAGGAGCAACCTCAGCCGCAGGAGCAGCCCGCTCCTTCGCCTACTCCCTCTAACAACGACAACAACAATAACAACAACGTGGGGAACAACAACTCTGGAGGTAGCACTCAGGGCGCGGCTGGAGACATTGCTGCCTACCTCGCCGCTCACAACTCTGCTCGTAGCCAACATGGTGCATCCCCGGTATCCTGGTCAGACGAACTCGCCGGGTTCGCACAAGAATGGGCCAACAATTGCCAATTCCAACATTCTCAGGGCAAATTCGGACGCGTGGGTGAGAATCTTGCGGCAGGGACTGGGCAGTATTCGATCGAGGACATGGTGGGCGATTGGGTCGCAGAGGTTACGGATTACAATCCGTCGAATCCAAAGGCTTCGCATTTCACGCAGGTCGTGTGGAAGGCAACGACGCAGATTGGATGTGCCAAGCAGACGTGTACGGGCATCTTTGGCGTAAGATATGTCTTTGGATCGTACGAAGCATGCTAATCATCATATTTAGAATACTCCCGCCACCTATTACGTGTGCGAATATCGTGAAGCTGGAAATGTCATTGGAAATTTTGCGTATGTCCCTCATGACTCTCGCTTCCACTCGCTAATCTTGTTACTAGGGCCAATGTGCAAGCATAATAGCGTAATTCAAGTTTGCTCTGACTAGATGATCAAGTACGAAATAGGCTATTAGAGAACGGCTTTTGGAATATATACCGCCCGGAGCGGCCTTCTATACCCAAACGAACTAAACTACAAATCTGAGTATCGTGGTAGCAGTTCTCCTTTGAGGATCCCCTTGGCGAACATTTTTGGGAAATAGTTGTCCAGCTCCTCGAAGGAGTTGTCGATGCGAGATCTTTCCTTCTGCAACGTAAACGCTTGCAATCGAGGGAAAGACCGTGCCACCATATCATCGACATCAAGTGTGTTCATCGACGACGTGACCACGACTGGTGTAACGGGTTCATAGGCGATGGTAATCGACTGCAAGCGACGGGCAATGGCAAACCTTCCAAGGAGTGTCGTAGCCCATGTCTTATCAGGTCTCCCCCACTGTGACCAAGGTACAGACACAATACTGAGCGAGAGCAAGTTGACGCATGCGTCGGGCCTTAAGATTTCTGTGCAAACTTGGTCAAGATGAGGCGAACGATACAAATGAGATACGTACCAGTTCGATAAATATTTTGAAATCCAATGCTTAGATGCGTCAATGTCCGCCCAACTTGTGTAAGTAGCCGATTGACAGCACGGATATTTTGCTCAAGGAGCGGTACGAGTCCTACGCTCTCCAGTTGAAGTGGTGGCTTGACTTCGAGCAGTCGCTCGAGAATAGTGGTGATGTTGACACCTTGGGCCCAGAGGCGCTTCAAGGTGCGAGGAAAAGGTTGCACCCGACGGTCGACATCGGCCATCCACCACCGTACAGCATGCAGATTTATCGAAACACAACATGGAAAGAGCGAGAGATGTTGCTCGAATTGCGACATGAGCGAGTAGTTGATGCTCCGAAACGTGACGGTAGTGATGGCCTCTGCTCGGAAACTGAGCGGCTTGACGCCGAACCCGGACGATTTCCACACCCAGCTAGAAAGTTCAAGCTCTTTCACGTTGGGTACGCGTGCAAGGATATCTGCGAGTGTCTCCAGATGCTCCGCGGCGCCAATAACGCCTACTAAATGCAGTTTCTTGATGAGAAGCCGTGTCTCTTGAGACGACTCCAGCACCCTCATCACTTCATTCCATATTTCCTGTTCTGCGTCACCAATCCCGCGCATAGGCGCTTCCGGTGACGCGGTGAGCAGTTTCGAAAGCCTTGACCGTATCCAAGAACGGGATTCTATTACCTTGACGGTGATCGTTGGTTCTGGTTTAGCTGGCTTGTCGAGATATTTGTAGCGAAATGTGGCTGATTGGAGCAGAGAAGGAAGGAGCATGTGCCTCCAGGCCTTGCAAAGTTGACTACATGCAATCAATGTCCTTCGGTTATGTTTTATATAGTCCAATATCTCCTGTACAAGTTCATACGGGAGTTTATCCATTAGTGATTGGGATGTGTGCTGGCGTAGGGATTGGTCGGGTCGAGGTTTTGTTAGGCGCCGGCCATGGCTCGGGGGTCAAATCGAGCTATTCGACCGAGACGAACATCTCTGCTCCACATTTGTCAATCCCGGCTGGTAGATCAGGGGGCTCATTCACCATTCAATCGAGAATGGATCATCGCGTGCATTCGGTGAATTTAGGACCACTCTGACGCGGCCGCTCTTGTAAAGCTCTGGGAACGAGGCTTCAAAGTTGGTAGAGCTGCCGAGGGGAGATAGGGACTGGGAAACGTCAGCTATGACCAAGATCGTCTTGGGCAAGATGGGGTCAAACGACAAAAAATCATCCAGAAGCGCGCAATGCTTGGGGATAGCGTAAATGTAGAGTAGGTGGCTGAAGTGAATGACCACCCGTCGCAGCAAGTCGAGTCGAGGTAGTTTCTTAAGCGTATGAAGCATCCATTTGCAGCTGACATCGGAGTATCGAGCCCTAAGTATTATTGTCTCCACGCTTGTACAATTTGTAAAGTCCAACGTCGCTGGATGGCATCAATTTAGTGGACTTCGCAAAGGTAGACGACTCACCCGCAATACTAGGAAAACAGGGCTCGCATGTGTAGATCGATAGGGTTCGAAGGGACGTGCAATGGCTGAGCAAGTCGTTCTCGTATTCACTGTTCTCCGTTGTGTGGTGCGAGATGGCAACAGCTTCTATAACAGATAGAGCCTGTTTGACCTGAAGCCACGTGTAAAATGGTCGCACATCGGTAGATGTTAGTTCTATCTTGCGGATGGGTGGAGGCGATAATTGTTGTTGCAAAAACGAACTGTCGTCGCTATCCCACGTCACGCCAGTCATGACCAATATTGAGCATTGTATCATCGACGATAGAAAGCCCATAAGGTTTCCTATCGACGGAAAGTTGACGCTCGTGAGACGAAGTGAAGAGATGTGTGCGGCAAGGTTGGTCACATTGAGCAGTGTAGATGATGTAGCATTGTACGAGTTGAAACTCTCGACGTATAGACTACGTAAGCCTGGTCGGCGCTGGAACAATTCTGAGATGAATCCGACTGGGGGACCAATCGTGCTCTTTTGGAGCGGCACGATAAACCAGAGTTTTTTGGTATATCGAAGTACATTGTTGGAAGCCTTGTCAACGCGAAGAAAGTCTACCCAGCTGCGGGCAATGGGCATCTTGCCGCTAGTTATGGGCGTCGTACTCGCCGAGTCTCGTCGTAGCTTGCGTCTGAATCGTCCCCTGATTTTCTTCCATGCACTTGGTTTGGGCTGTGGTGGGGTGATTTCCCATCCTGGATATTCGAAACGCACCGCTTCGAAAAGATGTTTCCTCGCGAGGAATAGCCATGCACGACAGACGAGGCTACACGCCTTGAGAGTGCCTTTTCGTGACTCAGGTGGTCGAATATGAGCTCATCGAGTTCAGGTGGCAAGCGCAATGCTGGAGGCGTCGACATGGAGAAAGTCAAGAGGAGGCGCTAAGAAGGTGGATGCCTAAGAGGAAGACGAGCAGAGAAATCTGGATACGTTCTGAATACAAATGGTTAAAGGGAATAGTACAATGAGGAGATATGATTCCAGTACTCAGTCCCAGCCGTCATTGACCCGTACTTTTTTGTCGCTTTTCATCTTACTTCCCTTTGTTCTCCCTGGCTTCCCAGCGCTTCTCTTGGAGTGATATCGCTTTTCCTGGCGTGACCTTTGCTTTGCAAGTTCGCTCGAGACTAGCTCCTTCACATCGGCTTCCTGTCTCGCTTTTGGTTTACTCTTCTTGGAGTTCCGTGGTCGTTCAGAGAGATTTGAGCGTGAGCTAGATGTCCTTGATTCGTCGTCCGAGTCCTGTTCAGACGCATTCTCCACCCCCTGCTCCTTGTCCGATCCAGATTCGGGCACCACGTCATTGTCGTTGAGAGGGACTGCTTCCGAGTGTTCATCTTCATCAGATTCTTCTTCAGACTCTGATTGAGATCTATCGTCATCCCCTCCCTGCATCTCCATGTACTACGAAAGGTTCGTCAGTAGCACACGGACCAGTCAAAAGATCTCACCTTTTCCAACTCTTCTTGATCCTTTCTACCGAAACCACTTGCCGCTACAACGACGTCGAGTCGGAATGACTCTTCATCCTTTTCGCCTTCCTTGATGATCCGGCTAAATCGAGGCCACACCAAACTCTGGTACCCAAATCGGCGCAAAAAGAATGTCTTGATGCATTCCACGTCGCGATTAAAGTAAAACTCTGCGTTTGCGTGTCGCGTGCTGACCATTTGCGGAAAGTCGATGACGATGGGTTCGCCCGTCACTCGGTGGATGAGAATGTTGAATTCGTTGAAGTCTCCGTGTATCAACCCTGCGTGTGCAAAACGGACGATGAGGTCCATCAGAGAGGAGTACAGAGTCCCAGGGGATGGGTGTTCAGAAATTTGTCGACTGTGACGGCTTAGCGCGGATAAATTCAGTGGTATACTGGCGTACAGAGGGTATGCGTCGATTAATTCCATGAGGACACAGTGCCTCGCTTGGTCAAGTGGTTTAGGGACGGGAAACCCGTTTTCGTGCAAGACCTAGGTCTTCAATAAGAGGACATCTTATGCCATTATCTACTCACTTTCATGAAAGCCCATTCCTTCTGCGCTGATAGTCGGGACATGTACATCCAAGTTGCGCTCTTGCGCTTGCCTAGGTAGTCCCGCTTAGATTTGATGGCCCTGAAAGACACTCTTCCAAGTCTATCAAGTGAAGGGACATAAGTTTGAGTCTCATGTAGAAAATGGGGACAGACCGGTGAAGTTTGAGAACTCGTTCCTCTCCTTCGGCGTTGGTCACCACGTAGATATCTGATTCCTTTCCGACACCAATCTGATTCCCGACAGCAGTCACCGAGTCACGTTTTGATAGCGCACGGATAGCCAAGAAATCGTAGCCTCCATATGTCAAGCGATATCCATCATCTAGGAGGTTATTGAGCCTCAAATCAGCCTTTCAGAGACGAAAGGCCATCTCATACATTTCGCATTTTGTACCCTGCTCACTAATCCGCGTTTTGCGAGTGAACCAAGAATTTTGTTGATTCCTCCTGATTTTAGTTTTGATATCTGGGTGATGAGAGATGTCGGGACTACTTCATGGTTCTTTGATCCCATTTCTACCTATAATCAGACGATTCCCGCGGCGAATGGCGACCTCGACTGGTGAGTGGCAATCCTTCAACGGACCCAAGGAGCTCACCGCTGTGAGAACTCTGAATTCCTCAGAGCTCAGGTATCGTATGTCAGTCGCATCCAACTTCATCGTCTCCTTTTAGTAACCTGAGACAAATGTGGGCAGGTTTTGGTTTCCAGCCTCAGCGCACAACATCTTGGAACCAGACATCGACGCCCATGGCCAGCGCACGAACGGGCCTGCTCAGGGCCATCAAACATCGAACAATACCGATAAATTCACACTCGACCGTTTCTGCAGTAGCATTGGGTGGCCGGAGATACGCTTCACAGGGCGAGCACTTCAACGAGCCGTCGGGGCTACTTTTTAGCGAGCTTGTACGTCACAAATGGTTCAAAACAGTTGCAATGCTCAATAGACAACTTCTTATAGCCTCAGAAGGACGGGTCGAAACGTCCACGAGAAGACTGGGAACTCATCTGGCACATTGGAATGGGCGGAAGCATCGTGTTAGCCAACTGCTATATTCTATTTCAGACCAGATACAAGGTACTTATCACCTTACATCACTTTACGGCCAGCAGCTAATTCTCCGCTTCGTATCATAGCATCTCGAATTGGGCTCTAGAGGAAGCCAAAGCACGTCTCGAGGCTAGAGGAGATAGTGCTCGTTACATTCCTTCCGCTGATAGTAGGATTCAACGATGATAACATATTGTATCCTCAGGCATCTCGTCTTGCAGCATGGAATACCAAGCTATGATCGGCTACCTACTCTCCGTTCCACTAAGTCCCCCTCAGTGTGCGGATAGCTAAGATCCAGCCGCCTCTACATACTGCTTGTCATACACCAGACTTGAGAAATTGGAAACACCGGAATTTAAAAAGATTCTGATCGCATCTGTTCCGGGTGATGCAAAGTAACAAGTAACTGCATAATACGAGTGGCTTTCCGAGACGTAGAAATGTATTTCTTCCTCAAATTATTTCCACATTAGTACATAGAGAGTGAGTATAGTATGTAATGATATATCAATCACAAGATGGCATCTTTGCAAACATTGGTCCAAGAGCCTCCAAAGTGGAAGCGGGTGAAATCAAGTCTGGTTGCACGGTACTCACTTGTTGTTGGCATAGTCAAAAGATGCGGATATATCAGTCCATGCCGATTGTTTGGCGGGACCCAGAAGAGAAATTTCTCGGATGATTTCACCCAGCCATCATCAACAAGCGAGCAAAGCTCAAACCCAGGTACGGATATCCCAAGAGGAGTACCCTCCATATCTTCGAGCGAACCTGAACATGTAGACTCGCTACCACTATGATCGGAGTTATTTGCACTTTTGCCTAATGACGCTTGTTAGCATCACATAATTTACTATGAGCCGACGTCGTAATTACCTGTGTCGACATCCCACAGTCGAGTCGTCCCGTCAAGTGAGCCGGAGACGATTCGTAAGCCGTCTGGCGAGAATCCGACGGCACTGACTGAGCGTTGGTGTCCTCGGAGTGGCTCTCCCAGTGGTTCGCCGGTGCACGCGTCCCACAATCGAATCGTTTGGTCCCACGAGCAAGATACTATTATCGAGCCATCTGGCGAGAATGCCACGGCATTGACCTCTCCTTGGTGACCGTGAAGTGGCTCTCCCAAAGGCTCACCAGTCTCTGCATCCCACAGCTGAACTGTGTCATCCAGCGAGCCAGAAACAATTCTTGAGCCGTCTGGCGAGAAGGCGACGGCGCTAACGCAGCTTTCGTGGCCTAGCTTTCGCAATGACTCCCCAGTCATCGCGTCCCACAATCGAATTGTAGAGTCGTTGGAGCCAGAGACGATTCGTGAGCCGTTGGGGGAGAAAGCGACAGAGGTGACCCTATATTCGTGACCTTGAGTGGCTCTCTCAACCTCTGACCAGTGTCCGCGTCCCACAGGCGGACTGTACAGTCCTCGGAGCCGGAGACAATTCGTGAACTGTCTGGCGAGAATGCGACGGCCGTAACCCAGCTGATCGTGACCATATAGCGGTCTCAACTTCTCACCAGTTCCTACATCCCACAGCCAAATTGAATCTTCTCTCGAGCCAGAGGCGATTCGTGACCCGTTTGGCGAGAATGCGACGGCAGTGACCGCATTTGATGACCGCAAAGTGGTTCTCCCAACGGCTGACCAGTGTCTGCGTCCCATATTCGAATCTTTTCGTCACTGCAGCCAGAGACGATCCGTGAACCGTCTGGCGAGAATGCGACGGCGTAAACCCGATAGTTGTTACCAAGGAGTGACTCTCCTAACGGCTTACCATTAGCCGCATCCCACAGTCGAATATCACCGCCAAGCGAGCCAGAGACGATTCGTGAACTGTCTGGCGAGAATGCAATGCTGACGGCCCAATATTCGTGACCTTGAAGTGGCTCTCCAAAGGGTTCACATGTCTCCGCGTCCCATAGTCGAATGGTGTGGTCACGAGAGCTAGAGGCGATTCGTGAGCCGTCTGGCGAGAAAGCGACGGCAGTGACCCGGAATCCGTGGCCTCGAAGTGGCTCTCCCAGTGGCTCACATGTCTCAGCGTCCCATAGTCGAACTGTCTGGTCCTTTGAGGAAGAGACGATTCGTGAACCATCTGGCGAGAACGCGACAGAGGTAACCACGTCTTGATGACCATTAAGTTGTTCACCCAATAGCTCACCATTATCCGCGTCCCATATTCGAATAGTATCATCTTTTGAGCCAAAGACAATTCGTGAACCATCTTGTGAGAGTGCGACGACGCTGGCCTGCCCCATGTGACCCACTCGTTGCTCTCTTAAAAGCACACCAGTCTCTGCGTCCCACAGTTGAATTATCGAGTCTTCGGAGCCAGAGACAATTTGTGAGCCGTCTGGCGAGAATCCGACGGTACTGACTGAGCGTCCTCGAAGTGGCTTTCCCGACTGCTGACCATTGACTGCATCCCACAGTCGAATATCACCGCCAAGCGAGCCAGAGACGATTCGTGAACCGTCTGGCGAGAATGCGATGCTGACGACCCAAGATGGGTGACCTTGAAGTGGCTCTCCCAAGGGTTCACCTGTCTCCGCGTTCCATAGTCGAATTGTGTTGCCGTGTGAACCAGAGGCGACTCGTGAACCGTCTGGCGAGAAGGCGACGGCAGCTACCGAGGATCGGTGGCCTCGAAGTGGCTCTCCCAAGGGCTCGCATGTCCCCGCGTCCCACAGTCGAACATCACCGCCATACTCGCCAGAGGCGATTCGTGAACCATCTGGCGAAAATGCAATGCTGATGACCCAATGTCGGTGACCTTTAGGTGACTCTCCCAAGGGTTCACATGTCTCCACGTCCCACAGTCGAATACCATTATGCCCGCCAGAGGCGATTCGTGAACCGTCCGGCGAGAATGCGAGGCTGACGGCCCAATATTGGTGATCTTGAAGTGACTCTCCCAGTGGCTCACATGTCTCAGCGTCCCATATTCGAATTGTGTAGTCCTGTGAGCCAGAGGCGATTCGTGAACCGTCTGGCGAGAACGCGACAGCGGTGACCTTGCCTAGGTGACCTCGAAGTGGCCTTCCCAATATCTGACCACTGTCGACGTCACACAGTCGAAGTGTATATCCCCGAGAGCCAGAGACAATTCGTGAACCATCTAATGAAAACGTGATGGCATTGACAGGCTTTTCTTGACCAAGGAGTGGCTCTCCTAAAAGTTCACCAGTCACTGCGTGCCACAATCGGGCTATTCCGTCCTCTGAGCCAGAGACGATCCGTGAACCGTCTGGCGAGAACGCGACAGTGATAACCTTGCCTCGGTGGCCTCGAAGTGGCTCCCCCAATGGCCGACCATTGACTGCATCCCATAGTCGAATTGTAGAGTCCCCCGAACCAGAGATAATTCTTGAGGCATCTGGCGAGAACGCGATGGCCGAAACTTCGGAATTGTGACCTCGGAGTGGCTCTCCCAATGATTGGCCAGTGTCTGCGTCCCAGATTCGAATTGTCATATCCTTCGAACCAGAGACGAATTGTGAGCCATCCGGCGAGAATGCGACGGCAAGGATTGAGCCTTTGTGACCTTCAATAACCTCAGGGAGCCCAGGATACGTCTCCTCGAGCCCTTGAGTTACAAGAAATGTGTTCCTGTACTTTTTCAGACCTTCTAAATGGATATTTGACCATCTAGGTGTAAAAGGAAGCATGGAAATGTAGATGTGTGGAACGCTATCCTGAATCGGCACCAAGAATGCCATCATGCACCGTCGGACTTCCGTTATACTGCTTATAGTCTCTTCTGTAAGCTGTAATTGGTGTGAGAAGCTAGAATGCATCAGTATAAGTTACTCACTCCTGTCTGCTGCGTAAGAGCTCGAAGACCGGAAATGGCGCGTGAGACTCCTCCAGTAAGACTTAGAACTTCCATCCAGTATAGTACGTATGGAACCCGAAGAACGTGTCGCACCTCATTTCTGAGTGTGCGTTGCCAACTGTCATCAGTTTCTGCCACGTGAAGCAACCAATGGGAAACCGCATATCGAAGTCTCGTTGGGATGAACTTTGATACTTTGACATCAAGGTTCGGGATCTGCCTATTTAGGTAGAAAGATGACTCGAGTTGACATATGTTGAATCTGAGACCTTCCTTCCGCGACTTAAGGCATTTGAGACACCACGATGCGGCCTGACCATGCGCCTTGGCCATGTTTATGCTGATCCTATTGCGATTATTGCTATCTGTAGCGATAGAGCAACGTCGAAGATACTCGACCATGGTGGGATGCCGAAATTGGATGACGTGTGTAGTTGCATCCTCAGTAAGAACACTCCCAAGGTTCTGTACCAATACCTTGGCAGTCCCCTGGATTCCGGCGTGCTTGAACAGGTCATCCAAATCGCCGATTGGGAGCGGCTCGAATGCTGCAAGTAGAAGGCCGAGCATATGGCACATAGTCGTGTAAGACTTCGAGTCCACCCGCTCAAAGACGAGGCTATATACTTCGTCTATATCCCCCGTCTGGTCGACCGCGACCAGGCGATCGTATATGCTTTCGGGGCTGTCTAATGTGGCTTCGCCTTTGAGCATTCGGCATGCAGTGCTCGCCCAAATGAATAGCCCTTGGGCCTTTTCGACCAATCGCTGTCTCTTGTCCTGCGATAGTACTCCGTGGAGTGATTCATGTACGTAGGCCGTAATGTCATCGATGTTGTCGCGATGGTTGATGCTGTGCAGACGGTCCCTCAACTCTGCTTTGATGGAGAGTGGCCGCAAAACGGCCTCGATGACGGGATCTGGCCGACTGGTGATGAAGATCCTGAGATTTCGAGTTTCTCGAGCAACCATGGCAAGTCCATCGAGAAGTTCCTTTCGCTGTACTCCCGATTTACATTCGTCGACGGCGTCAATGACAAGGAACACTCGGTCCTGTCGGTGGTGGAGTGGATCAATGACTAACGTTCGAAGTTGCTCGTGAAACGAATCCCGCATGATAGCCGGATTTCGCTTCACAGCCTCAGCAACGTGGGGTGCGAGTTCGGGCATATGCTGCACAAGTTCCCTAGCTATGGTCGAGCAAAACTTCTCGGTACTGGATCCGTCATTACTGGACAAGGAGAAGAAGAATTGGCCTCCTAAGATCCCCTCCGTCCTCCAACGGTTTGCCACGGACATTGCGACTGTGGATTTGCCGGAGCCAGCGATATCACAGAGCCAAAATATTGGCTTTTGCGATATGCTATGTTCTGTCCAGTTCCAGATTGTCTGAAGAACAGCCTGTCGAGTTCCTTGGAGGCAGGTCCTGTGGACTGAAGCTGCGGCGAACGCAACCATTGGCAGCTGGAGTATAGCAGACGCATCAACTGGAAATAGTGAGCAAGTACACCATATGAATATCTGATTTACCTTCCGACAGGATTTTTTCCACTTTGGCTTTGGTAACCTCAAAGTTGGCTTTGATCATCTCCATATTGGCCGTAGTGACTTCCCCGTTGGCCTTAATAGCCTTGATATTCCGGTCGACGCCTTCAATACGATGTGCAACGAAAAGGTTTAATTGCTCCTGCGCCTACAGTGAGATTACGGAAAAAGTTGATGATACTCGTACCGATAGCTGCCGATGGCAGTCCTCGATGTCGCGATTGAATTTCTTGATCATATCTACATCCATTTTTATCTTACTCGCAGCGGCAAATGCCCCAAAGCCACTGGGACGTCGTTTATGCTCGTAGCGAGTCACAGTCTTATGAAACTCTTCGAGCCGTCTGAACCAGTTAGTATAATTCACAAGGTCGAAACGCTTACGTACTTGATATAGCGAATAAGTGGTTGCTTGAACGCGTCGTCAACAGCAATTGCTTCTGGCGGATAACTTTCGAACACGTCAATTTGATTCTTGACAGCGACCATATATTCTTCCAAACGCCGTCTTAGCTCATCCCATCCTTCTTGGTTGTCGTCGACAGCCTGTCGACATTCATGAGGTAAGGTATGTCAGTCTCACCGAACTTACTTGGATGACCTCGAGAATCAAACCCGTAGATTTACAGATGGCCTTGAGAGGAGAGAGTACATCTGTTGCCTCGGATATACTCGCGAGGAGATTGAGACCAGTGCTGGCGACGTCGAATGCTTGCCCTCTCTTACGCGATGAACGATTTGCAAAAGACGATGAACCCGGCGGATCGATAGTGGAATCGATGGGCTGGGTTGAGTTTGTGGACGACATTGCTGAAGTGGATGGCTCCAAGATGTAGTCGATGTCTGCCACTCTCCACGCTACGCTACGTGCCGAAGACATGAGGCGGCGACTACGGCTAAATTTGACGAGGTTGGAGTGTTATTCGCTGATACAAATTGCTAGTACGCTGGTTAGACTCGAGCCAACCTCTGGCTGCAATCACGATCAAAAGACGTAGTGGAACCGCTCGCCATGGTAAACAACTGTAGAGCATGACGAAGGAATTACAAAGAAACTTATCCAAACCTGTTGAAAGGCTCCGAATTATGGCTCTCCGATCAGTATCCTTGACTGATCCTTAGACCACCAATATCTATGATTGGACTCCCATTGCATGGAGCAGTGTTGAATCTTGTTGACAAAGTCGCGACTATTCCTGATGACCTTCCTCGCATAGCTGCTTGTATGCAGCCTCGTCAAGCAGCGAGTCAATCTCCTCCGGCTTTGAAGCTTCAATTTTGCACAGCCAACCTAGATTTAAAAAAAAATACACTGAGTCACATCACAAGCGACCAAGGATAGTGTGTACCTTCTCCTTCTGGATCCGCGTTGAGTAGCCCAGGTTTATCATCAAGCCCCTTGTTGACTTCGATTATTTTTCCAGAGATAGGTGCATAGATGTCAGACGCTGCTTTAACGCTCTCTACTGCGCCAATGTTATCTGAAAAGGATATGAACAATAGCCAATCGAAACTCGGACGGAACGCGGACCTCCTTGGGCAAGTTCGGTGCCAATGGCCGGCAACTCGACAAAGACTACGTCTCCCAGAGCCTTTTGTGCATAGTCGGTGATAGAGATAGTGCCAATCTTTGTCGCGTCGTCGTATAAGACCCATTCATGTTCCGGGGTGTATTTCTTGGCTATTCGACAGATTCATGGTTGAATGTGCACAAAAGACACGCCAGCACGAATAGAACGAGGCAAAGGATAGTCGAGCCAGGAGTGAGCGAAACCGGATAATCGAAATTTGCACAACTTACTGGCTATGGCTCGCATTGAGAGGAATTGAGAGCGAGCAGTTGCATGAGCAAATTGGAATGAAGCTCTCGGAGCCAACCCTGCAGAGAATACGCGAGGAATGAGCCGGGCAGCCATTGTGGAAGAGGTCAAAGATTGTGGACCAAACTTCGACCTGACAAGCACATCGCCTTTGCCAACGGCGACATTGATACACCATCCAACGCAGTATTACTTGTCAAATAAGGCTTTGAACAACCATAGGCTCTCTGAATATTGCGTCTTCCTTGTGAGAGGTGCGTTCCAAGCCGGCTACATAGTGAAATGGAAGTACCTTGCTGATGACTATGTAACTCCAGACCCTCTTTGTCCTACATTCACCGATAATATCAAGTTGTTCCTTCTCGCTATTTGGTTGTAGGCGACCCCGTCACAAGTTCACAAACCCGCGCGACCGACGGTACTAGTTCCTGGATGTTCTCAGGATTCTATGAAGCTCTTGGAAATGTCATGCCAGAAGGCACCTCACCGAGTCCTTCCAGGCCGACCAATACGAATGGTAATCCATTAGCAAGAGATGGATCCCCACAACGGCAAAACGGGGAAGCCAGCTATTCCACTTACCAAAGGAGATCAAAGCCGAGTCTCGAGGAGCGGCTAAGAGCAAGCTTGGCGGCCAAAGAGCAAAAACGGCTCGCACAGGAAAAGGAGAGCAATGTTCTGTCAACTATTCCAGCCGTGGAGGAGAAACAGGAAGAGCCCGACCCCATCAGTCAAACCGGGACCATTGAACCTCCTAGTGTACTCGATCCATTGAGCATTCCCCTGCCGACATCCCCTCCAACCGTGAACGCCGACCCGGTAAATGTCCCACTTTCAATACCAGACTCGCGTCAACCACAATCTCAAGAGCTATCAACCATCCTCGACGCTGTTTCCGCTACTCCAGCGCAGCCAGTCACGCCCCCAAATCGCACCAACCCTCCACTCCCACCCAGCGAACCCACTGACCCTCTTTCTCCTTTTCCCTCCGCAACTCGATCTATATCGGTTCAAGATCCTATTCAAGAACTCAGCCTTCCCGCTTCCGCCGTTTCATCCAAGTTCGACGACCCTCTCACCCCTGCCCTGATGGAACTCGAACGAGAGCAACAAGCGGCTGCAGCAAAAGCAAGACTCGCCCGTTCTCCGCCTCCTCCCTCGAGCCCACCTAAACAGCATCATGTCCGTACCAAATCAAACGCGACCAAGCCAACCGTTCCGGATGGCGAACCGTTCCTACGACTAGGATCTCACTCACAATCCATATCTCGTAGCTCCTTGGACCAAATTCTACATGCTCCAACTAGTAGCTTTGGTAGCTTAGGTGTCGAAGGGGTGGAAGACTTGGACGGTTTAAAGGCATGGATAGAAGAGATCAAGCGCAAGTCACAGGTAAGATATACGAGTTCAATGATCTTTGATTGATATCCGAAACAGGCTTCCGAAGAGGAGGTCAGGCGGTTGAATGCCAAGTTGCAGCAACAAGACTCACGAATCGAGGAGTTGCGAGACACCCACCGGCTGGAAGCGCAATCCCAATCGGAGCTCATTGAATCTCTAAGGCAAAAGCTCGCAGTGGCCGAGACCCAAATCGCATCTCTGGAGACCACGGTCGCCACCGAACGTTCCCTTTTACATGCCGAGCGGTCGACTCGAGAGTCGCTCATCGCCGCTGAGCGTGCCAAAAACAGTACTGGTCTTGCAGATTTGGATACGCTCAAAGCCAAGGTCAAAGAACTTAGCGACGAAAACGAAAAACTCCAAAGTCTAGCTAAAGAGGAGGAAGAGAAACGTACAAAAGCGATCAGCCTTCTCAAGACCGTTCGTACAAAGCTGGTCAAAGCAGAAAAAGATCGAGACGATATGCAAAAGAACTTGCATCGCTTCAGGACTCGGAGAGGCTTGGAGAAAAGAAGAGCGACGAGGAGCTCAAGGGACTTCGAGTGGAAGTCGAGCGCCTTACGGCCGAAAGCGAGCGGGTGCGCATCGATAGTGCGCGTGAAGTGGAGAGAATACGGGACGAGATCAAGCGAGACTTTGAGCGGCGGCGCACACAGCTAGAGGCCGAGTTAGCAGCAATTCGAGATGGAATGGAGCGTGAGGTTCTCGCACGACGAGGCGAATGGGAGATCGAGGGCATGGCCGCTAAAGTAAGTTTCACATCACCTCCCGTTTCTGTAATCTGATGTTGGTTAGACTGCACACCAGAAAGAAGTCACGGCGCTCAATACTCGTATATCGTCACTCAGCGCATCACTCAATCAACTCGCGGAAGAGAAGGAGACCCTCTTCTCCGAGCTTCAAGCGCGTCAGGGAGAGCTAGAAGCAGCTCGAAGCACCGCCACTCAAGCTGAGGCCCAGCTAGCGGAGATCAACTACCAACTAGAAGAGAAGGATGGACGGATCGCATTGCTTGCTGCAGAGCTCGCAGATGCCCAACGATCTTCCACACCTCGCCAGATGGCTCGAGGCTCATCAGCTGCTACGAGTAGCGCAGACGTTGCGCGGTTACTCGCGGAAACCAAGTCGAAATCGGAAGCACAGATTGCCGAGCTGCAGTCTCGACTAAAGGCAATCGAGCTTGACCGCACAGAACAAGAGGAGAGCTGGTCTCGGACCATTGCTGCTCGCGGTCAAGAAATTGAGCGTCTCAGGCGACTATTAGATCAACAAGAGAATGAGGGCAAGAAAGCTGGTGACTATCGAGCTCAGCGCGACAAGGACTTTGAGCAACTCGAAGAGCGGATTCGCCGTGTCGAAAAGGAGAAGCTCGAGGAGACGAGGCGATACAAGCTAGTAGAAAGCGAAGTGAGCATTCTCAAGGAAAGCCTGGAGAGTAGGAGCTTCGAGGCCTCTGAACTTCAAAGTCGTGTCGAAACGTTGAATACGCAGCTCGAAGAATTACGAGCAAAGGAGTCACAGCTCAAGACTAGCAACAAGGTATCTCACATGACCAATTCGTCGTCCTTTGCTGACCTCCTCCAAGACGCTTCGCGACGAGCTCCGTAAAGTGCAATCCTCAGCGGCATTACTGGAACGACAGCGAAATCCTGGCGTGGGCTGGAGTGGAAGTAGTGCACGGCCAACGCACGATACCGTGTCGACTCCGGATCTTTCACGTGGCGGGGCGTTGATAGGTCGACCTGGGACGCCAAAGAGTGCAACGACTCCGACCAACGGTACTGGTCCTGCTTCCAGTGCTGGCTCGGCAAGGTCCTCTATGGAAGTCAGTCAACCGGAGGAGGAAGTAAATGTCGAGTACTTGCGCAACGTGATCCTTCAATTCCTTGAGCATAAAGAGATGCGGGTGCGTACCATGGGAAATATTCAATCGTGGTCACTAATGTCGTGTCGCAGCCTAATCTTGTTCGCGTACTTTCTGTCTTGCTGCGGTTCAGCCCTCAAGAGACGAGAAGGTTGATCGCCAAAGTATGATTAACATATTTCAATCTGTAGCATATAGTGGTCGTGTAGGATTTGACACGCATGATAAATAACTCCCGAAAACTGTGCTCGTTGAGCTCAGGAGCTCGTCACCTGTTCATCGGATGTTGCAGTGGTCGTCAAACCCGAGGGCGGTGTCGGAACAGGAGTAGATGAGGCGCTCGAAGATTGAGCAAGTTGCCAGGCTGGGATGCTTGGCTTCTTGCCGATCTGGGAAAAGATTGACGTGGTCGCGGCAGAAGTGTTGGCATCTCTGCTTGAGAGTAAGAGCGCTTTGAGTGACTTGAGTTCTTGCTGTAGCTCTCCGTACGACAGTCTTTCTTGATCCTTTACGCGTTCAAGCATCTAGAAAACATGTTAGGAGCCTTACAATAACCAGGCCCACAAACGCTTACCTTTGGGAGCATCTCTTGCATATTGTTGACTTCTGCACGGATTTCCCTCATCTCATCTCGGACCTCTGTCTCACCCTTTCTCATTTCTTCCACGGCTTCTGTGACCTCTTGGACGGCCGTATCCACCTTTTCACGCTGCTCTTCAAGAGTTGCTTTCATGGCTTGCGTCTCAGCTTGCATCTCCTTGAGTATTTGTTCAGCAGCTTCGAACTGGGCGGTAAGTGCCTCTTTATCTGCCTCATAGGCGGAGACGGTGGGTGGTTTCAGGTGAGGGAACATGTAATTCTAAAAGATATGTCAGTCTGATCAATCCAGAGAGAGCGCATCCTACCTTTGCGATGGCGTATGCTCCAAACAAGGCCGAACCCGAAACGACTGCAGCAATCTATACATTCATTGAGCACTGAGTCGAGTAGCCATGTCGAAAACTTACAAAGTAATCCCTCCAGTCCCACGGCACGTGAACCGGGTTTTGGCCAGGCAAGGTAGCCGGTCCAGCAGTATACGGGACTTGACCACCGTTGACAATGCTCTGATTTGCAATGGTTATTGCTCGTGTTATTTCGTCTCCGGTGAGTCCTCTCGACTCGAGAAATTGTATCCGCTGGACAAGTGTAGACGACCGAGTCTATGAACAAAGGTGTGAGTCGCTATGAAGTGCATATAAATTGTGTCCTACGTGAGGGTCCGAAAGAAAACTGATGGCCTGTTGCATGAGTTCTGCTCGTTGGGGATCCATGGTTGATATGGAGGGGTTCAAGATGTACTTGCGGCCCTGGATGTCAAAAGATTTACAGATCAAGTAAACTTTGCATATTAGTTGGAAAGTACATTATTTACACGTTTAACGAGTGGTAAGGAAGGCGATAGCCGATACTATGCACATTCCACAATCAACGAATACGCCCACCAAACGAGCCCTCTTTATCTGCCGTGAGGTAGTTTCCGGGAAGATATATCGAGAAACGTTTATACTGCTCTCGATGGACCTCCCAAGTCTTGGGGAAAAGATGGTTTGTAATCTGGCGGACAGTCGAGTGATGGAACTTCGTGAGATACTGCGACACATTGAGAGAATCCTCATCAAGTTGTTATACGAAGGAATAAGTGAATAGGAGGAACGCTGGCCAGTATATCCAGATGGTTGATGAACGGGATGTCCTGTTCAGTCGGGGAGCGTTGCAGTGTTTTGACTGGAGAGATTGTCACGTCCTTCACGTGAGTTCTCCCGCCTAGGGTGATAAAGAGTGTCGAGGTATTGAAAGGGGTTGGCCAGATTGTACAAGCCGACCAAACCCCTGTCATTGTTTATTTGTACCATTTTTGGGACTCCCCTCTATTCGGTATTTGTCAGAGCTGAATTTCTTGCTGTCATCGGTTGCTTGCAAGTCGGTTCCAATAACGCAAGGGAAGCGTCTACCCCCAACAACCCTGTACGGTCCATCTCGACCCGACATAGTCTCCATGGTTTCAAGGGTGTGCATGACACCACAACCACCCTGACGAGGCAGATTTGATAGAGTAATCGAGCCTCGACGAAGGTTAGGCAATCCGTCACATTCAGAGGTCGAAGCATAGCTGTGCGTGCTACGACCATCCGGGTGTTCATAAAAGTTGGCATTTGGTGCGTTCAATTGAGCGAGTTGGACCATATTCAGATATATCCTGTTTGACAGGACCGTGCTGACGGCCCACATCAAGCTAGTGGTCTGTCAGTAGCCCTAATTGATAACCACAATCAACAACGTACTAAATTCCGAGGTAGGTTCGGGTGATTGGTTGCCATTGCCACTGGAGTTTCATCAGTCAGAAAGTTTTGGGAGTAGCGATACGTACAATGATAACATTCCAAAGTCGAATGCCGACCATTATACTTGAAAATAGAACTCCGTCTGTAAAGAGCTAAGTAGGTAATTACCAGAATTGAGAACCATCCTCACCGCGATATAGCACTCGCAGTAGGGGAAGCCGGGTAATTTCTCTCTGAGAACGATACTTTTTGAACGCGTGGTATACAGTGAGTCCAAGCATCATCGTCTCGAAGACGAAAGGACCATAGAACACCAATGAGAGTGTCGGTGGTCGGAGAGTTACTGCACAGATACCGAGAGGTTGGAAGTAATCGATGACTCCTAGGTAATCGAGTCAGATTGATGGGCTAGAGAGTGCGTTTTGCCGTACGAGCGAGGAAGATCTGAGCCTGAACGAGAAATACCATTGTGGATGCCCAAGAAAGAATAAGGACTGTGTAGAGAAAATAGACTATGATGGGCTTTGACTTATACAGCGCCACCAATCGAAGCATAAGTAACCCTTTGGCCACGGTTAACTTACAAGGTGTATGAAAGTAAGCAATCCCACTCACAATAGCTCGATATAAGTGACGTGACCTCTGCGAGAGGGAGGGCGAACGTAAACGCGACGCAGCTTATGGATGGTCAATATTCTCGCCAGTGCGAATAAACGTTCAGATGTCACCGGAGATACCAGTAACAGAGACGTGTAGGAAGCACTCACGACTGCCATCAAGCAAACCGCGCATATGGGTAAGCTGTACGATGCCGATGTTTTTAAGATGCTTACCTTTCGCGGAATGTAACTGTGTAACTCCGGTATTAAATCTAGGAATATTTGGTCCGTGAGGGCGATATTGGTATAGTCATTGCTCGACGACGTACGATACAATGCAGTTGCCAGACCTATAGACGTTATTATTCGAGACTGTAGAGTGTAGAGGTCAGACACTGGGGAGAATATATGCAAGACACCCACAAAGTAGTATAGGCCCTTCCCCAATGACCGACGAGACTTTCCGAGGAGCTCTACCTCATCGGCGAATAAAAGTAGCCAATCGTAGATGCAGAGAGTGAATGAAATTACTGATGATTAGCGTGAGATATAGCCAGCGTGGCCATTGCAGAAGGCTACCTGGAGAAACTTGGATTTACCTGCGACATAGCGGGACACGACGACGTCGGCGATGGAGGAAATGAGAGTGCTGTAAGCTTCATTGGAAAGCATTTTGAGGACCGCCAGACATATGGGCGATTTGGAGACCGTGCGGCGGGTAGGGAAGGCGGGCAAGAGGGAACTGCGGAAGAGTCCAAGGCGTAGCTCTACAAGTACCGTTAGCAACGGTTGATGATTATTAATTCCGCGTCTAAATAGCTATTGAGAGACACGGGCCGGTGAGCTACCTGATAATGACTGGCCAGGGACGTAACATCACAGAGCCTTGTCACCCCTTGATCTTTGGGACACTAGCCACTTCTGGTTGAACAACATATTAGCTATCCGAGTGGACATGGGGGCAGCTGGCTGCTGGTAATCGGATAGATGTATCTTTTATGAGTTGATGCTCTGGGCAATGAACTGCTACGACGACTTTGCTCAGTTTGTCGAGACGGATGTTTGTTCCTGTCGACGGTCCATGGCGGCAATGGAAGAATTCAAGTTGCACGCTGGACAAATATTTAGGGCCAAACAGTTGTATTATTAGAAGGTAACAGACGCCGCTTTCAATAATTGTACATTATCATCAACAAAGACAATGCCCATGTGGATTGTCGGTATATCTCACCGTTAGGAAGTGACATAAGTTTCACGGCAGGAACGACATCCCAACTGTCTGCGTGGACGGCTCTGTATTCCGACGCCGCCTGGTCGGATTGGCAACATATACCCCCGAGAAGAGGTGCGACTTCTTTCTTCGCTTTCCGTATTCTCCTTCAGACCCAAGATCTACAGCGGCAACCGTGGACACCTCTGGACCAAGCTTTCTGAACGGCAAAGTCCACTTAGAGGATGCGACCAGAGGATTGAGACGCGTGATCGCGGTGCCTATCGTAGCTTTTGTAGCTGTGAATACACGAAATTCTTCTTGAATGGGTGAAGATGGCGTGGCGACGTTCACCGTTGAGACAGGGGATTGTGCATTAGTGCTTGCAGTGGCCGGAGTGGTCGTGTAAGGGGATGAGGGGGATTGGTGTCGTGCGCCAGGTCTTGGGAGGTTATCCACTTGAAGTCGTGGAGGTGGTATAAGTCGATCTGGTGCTGCTCTGGCTGGCAGTCCCCCTGACGCGGCAAGGGACTCTAGGCGGGATGGACGGGAGACAACCGACTCCATCTCCGGTACAGTGGACGGTAACGGCAGCCTAGAGTGGGTGCCACCAAAAGTTATTTTGCGGTGACTCGCCTTTCGTTCGTTGAGATGTAAGGCTGACGGGGATCTTCGTTCTTCCATCCTCAAGGACAAGGGTCTCCCATCATCTGCCGTCACAAAATAGTCATCGGAGAAGTATGTAGAGTAAAAGTTGATCTCGCTTCCAGGTGGACTGATGGGTTGAGTATTGGAGCGATGGCGAGAACTGACAATTTGGGACGGTCGACTGACGGATGTTCGTGAAAGCGTATCACTCTGCGTACGAAGTGGCTTTGGTGGAGGAGTGGGGGGAAGAGGAGAGAGCTTGCCGGAGTTCTCATCTGCTTGCTGAGTTCGGACATACTGCAGAGCTGCAGGCTGGGGTTGTGGCCTAGTGATATCCAATGATGCACGATTGACACCTTCATGCTCGCTGACAGATGAAGAGCGACGGAGGTGATTAGACTGTAGGAACTGGATGGACGACTGCCTCTTGTCATTGGAAGGCTTCCTCGGAATAGTATCCATCTGATATTCGTCGAAATCCACCTTCTTGGTCTCCTCGACGACTTCTTTCGGAGGTAGATTGTTTCCAATAATGCAAGGAAACTGTCGCCCTCCAATAACCTTGTAAGACCCATCCGAGGTCGTCATAGTCACGGTGCTCGTAAAGATCTGTATATTTCTGTGTCCAGAGGAATGGCGGGGATTTGGCGCATTGACCGACTGTCGACGACTGGGTAGGCCGTCATATTCAACCGTCAGGGCGTGACTGTACGTGCTACACCCATCTGAATACTCGTAAAAGTTGACATTTGGTTCTCTTCCCCTTGTATCCATTTGAGCGAGTTGAACCATATTCAGATATATCCTGCTCGACAGAACCGTAATGATGGCCCACATCAGGCTAAACATCTATTAGTAGCCATATAAGCACTGCCATCAACAACGTACTAAATCCCTAGGTATGTTCGGGTGAGGGGTTGCAATGCCCACTGGAGTTTGTCAGATGTGAAGGGAGTGCCTACGGTACGTACAATAAGAATGTTCCAAATCGAACGCCCATCATAATGACCGAAAAGAGTACACCGTCTGCGAGGGGCTCAGTGGGTAATCGCAAGTAGTGAGCAAACGGTACCGCGATATAGAACTCTGAGTAAAGGAACCCTGGTGATCTCTCTCTGAGAGCGGTGCTCATTCCACGCATGGTATATGGTGAGCGTGAGGAGTGTCAACTCGAAGAAGAAGGGGCCGTAGAACACCCGTGAGAGTGTTGGCGCTCGCAAGGTTGTTGCACAGATGCCAAGAAGCGTAGAATACTGTACGACTCCTGGGAGACCAAGTTAAGAAAAGAATGAGATACGGGGCTGGGCAAGTTCTCGGCATACCTGCAAAGAAGACCTGGGCCTGAACCAGAGATATCGTGGTGAATGACCAAGAAAGAATCAGGATGGTATAAAGAAGATAGACCACGATGGGCTTCGACTTGTACAGCGCCACCAATCGAAGCATTAGTAGCCCTTTGACACGGTAAGCGCATGATAAGGGCATAATTCAACTTACAATAGCTAGATATGAGCGATGAGACCTCTACAAGAGGGAGGGCGAACGTAAACGCGATGCAGCTACGGATGGTCAATATTCTCTCTAGTGCAAAAGGACGTTGGACTGTCGCAGCAGTCACCAACAACAAAGGCGTAAAGAGTACTCACAACTAGCATGGAGCAAACCGGGTGTATGAGCAAGCTGGACGATGCGACGATATCGGCGATGCTCACCTTTCGTGACAAATGATCACGTAACTCCGGTATCAAATCTATGTAAGCATCATCTGTCAAACCGAGGTTGATGTTTTCAGAAGATGGCAACGTACGATACAGGGCAGCGGCGAGGCCGAAAGGTGTTGCTATTCTGGCCTACAGAATTGTCAGGATAACCGCATGGAGCGACGTTAGTAGGCGAAAGCCACCCACAAAATAATACAATCCCTTTCCTAGCGACCAGCGAGATCTTCCAAGGAGCTCTACCTCATCGGCAAGCAGAATGAACCAATCATAAATGCATAATGTAAAAGCTATGACTAGGCAATATTGTTAGTGTCATATTCCCGAAGTCATGGTAGAGGGGCTGGACAAAGTCTAGATCGAAGCTTTGAATCACCTGCAATATAGCGCGACGCAAGGACATCGTTTACAGAGGAAATGAGGATATCATAAGCTTCGTTGGAGAGCATTCCCAAGTCTGTAGCTCATACAGACGACTAGCGATTCCGGGGGCGGGGTGAGGGAGAGACAAAAGGGGAGCCGCCGGGCGACCCAAGGAGTCCCTCTAAAAAGCACCGTTAGTGACGGGCAATAGTCTCTGATTTTGCGCAAAAGTCGCCACTAAGAAGCACTCTCCAACCAATGAGCAGAGGGCACGATTGACAGCAACGTGACTGCCGAGGAAGTTACTATCAAAGACCTGTCAACCCTTGCTCTTAGGCCACCGGCTATGCCCAATCGCAAGGGGTGGCCTGCCGGCATTCGGATGCCCTGTAACCCCTACAACCCTGTGCCTTGGTCAATCACTAGGTGCGTATCAAACCTTGTTCCACCTCACTTGGCTGAGACACACCACAGAGGTTGTTCAGGCGAGCAAGGTTATCAGCCATCACCAAGGACGGGCTACCCAGCCCCCATTCTTGCCATACGTGCAATGTTGCCGTGGGCCACATTCCATAGTGACATCTTCATTTCCGAGACGACCGTAGTAATAATGGTCTTCTAAGACTTATGTGAGTTGCTATATGTCCGCCAACCCTATCACATCCTATCCCACCCGATCATTGTGCAGGGTACTCCCAAACCGAGCCAGCCGCAGCAGCAATTGTCCGAGTCTTGACATTTGCTCCGACTTGAAACTCCCTGCCTGCTTGCAGTCAGCTGGCAAGCAGCTGCTTGGCACGGCGCTCACGTACCTAGATTACCAGCGCTGCGGGATTCCGATTGTATCGGGCTTTTCATCGGCGGACACAGAAGAGGATGAATCAGCATGCCATCGCCATCCTCATTGACGGCTACGCCGGACCTGTACCTGTTGGAGAGGCGAATACACGGCTTGGCTTTGAAACACATTCTTATAACATGTACTATCCGAGAAGTAGCATCAGAATATGGACTACAATCACCCAGCTGCCATACCAGCCACTCGTACTGAGTGCCAGCCTTCGTTTGTGGCGTTTATAATTAAGCTCAAGCTCTGGCAATACTCGATCACAAGGTTTGTATTGAACTCGGCATCTTGTGAAAGGCGCTTTATGGAGATCTTACTGACTGATTGACTCTCATTTGATGTTTGATGACACGGAGCCCTGTGTACATGTTGGTGCCTCAAGCTCAGAAGGATACTCTATGGTGGAACCGATAGTGGCCGAGGCGTCTGCGCGACTTCGGGCAAGGAACAATAAAAATTGATAGATTATATTCCTCTCTGTATCGAAAGCACGCTACAGGCTCGACCTCTACGGATCTCCATTTCTAGATTCAGTAGACAGAGCAAAAGACGAACAAACTGACATCTGTTACCAGGATAAGACAGAGACGAATGGAACTGTCGAGCCTTCGGCCTCCTAGCCATGATTGTTTCGTAAAACAAAGTGGACTAGATCCTGGTCCGCAAGATCAAGCCTTCGAATAGGCGGTATACAAAAGCAATTTCTAGGATAAGAGAACGTTTCCAGCACGGTAATAAGATGATGGCCTTCAGGGATGCAATGTGTGCTGATTTAATGAATCATAGGCAGGAACGATGTGTTATCGTTCTTCCGAGAGGGAGTGGTTCGAGGTCGTCGTGGGAACCGTAATGGGTTGGAAACGGAGACGCGGGATAGAGTAGGTGATCGGTGAACTTCCAGTTGTCTGAGAGCTTGATCAGACATTGGCCGTGTCCTGGTTCGGGTCCCTTTGGAACTTTCCATGTAATAATTGTGAGTCGGGGAATCGGGAGGATAGGCGAATCTGGTGGGAGAAGCTGGGCCGAACGATAATCGACTCCGCTTGAGCTCCCGAGGATGACCGTTATCGGCTATGCCTTGTAAAGGTTCCAAAGCTTGCTTTGGTTTCGTTGTATCCCCTTGAGGTGACACCACCCCTTGAAAAGAGCCCCCTGAAGATCGTAGACTTCGAGGGGTCTGTGGGACTGAGGGAATACTGTGCCTAACTGACCCCGATTCATCAGTCACAATGACCTCTTCTTTGATATGGATGGAGAGATTGATGGTACCCTTGGACGGCTTCCTGGATAACATCTCCCGACCAATCACCCGTGGGAAGCGCGCTGGCTCTGGTGTCGAGAGGTCGTTGTTTGTATATTTAAGGGCTTCGACGTCAAAACCAGATTTTCTCTTGGTCTTGAGCGTCACCGGCGACGACAATCGAAGGATGCTACCAAGCTTTGATCGCTCCCTCCCCTCACCGGCTATGGAAAAACGATGAACATTTTCGCATTCTCCGTATGCACGGTTGTAGGAATCGACGTTTGGAGTTGTGTACTGTGTGCGATCTCGTTCGCGTGCATTGTATTGAGCAATTTGGACGACGTTGAGATATATCCGACATGACAGCATGGTTATCGCCGCCCACATGACGCTGAATGATACATTAGATGTTATGGCGGACACCGCGGATGTACTCACTATGGACCTAGATAGGTTCGGCTGACAGGCTGGATTGCATACTGCACAAAGTCAGTCCTATGCTTCTCACAAGCCTCGTAACTCACGATTATAATGTTCCAGATGCGTATGCCAGCCATGATTACGGAAAATATTACTCCATCTCGGTAGAGGACTCGGATAAGTGGCCAGGTCGCTGGGTCGTGGTACCCCCGATGAACCTTTAATGCGTGGTAGAATGTAAGGGTGATAAGTAGGATGTCATAGAAGAGAGGAGCAACAAAGACGCCGGCAAGAGTAGGTGCTCGCTGAGTGATGGCGCAAAGGCCAAACATATCAGAATACTCGATAGAGTCTACGGATTTGTTAGGCTGCTGTACATGGGATGAATCCTCCGACTTACGGGAAAAGAAGGCCGAAGCCATAACCAGGAAGGCGTAGGTTACTACCCAGCAAGCAATGAGGGAGGCGTAGAGGAAGTACACAAAGTAAGGCCGTGACTTGTAGAGAGCAACAAGACGCAGCATTAGGAGCCCTGATGACGACGAGTAAGTATGAATCTCAGTTGGGTTTTGCGTGCAGGACGTACAGTAGCTGGCGAGAAATGAGGTGACCTCGACGACAGGTAGGATATAGGCAAATATGATACAGCTATCATGAGGTCAGGAAGAATCCTCGAGCTAATGAATAAAGAGAACGGACAACTAGAAATATGCCTGAATTAGGACGAGCGTTTCGGTGATTAGATATGAAGAACGTACGTTTTTGGATAGTGCTGTCGATCCACGCAGCTCTGGGGTCAAGTCTGAAAGCATGTCAGGCCAGATCTCATTGGATACGTCTGTTGCTTACGGATCAACGCGGCGGTGAGTCCAAGCATTGTCATGAACCGTGTCTACAACCCAAAATCAGTCGTCTGCCGAGTAGAGAACTACGGCGCACAAAGATGTAAAGAGTTTTGCCCAACGATAGTCTCGACTTGCCAACGAGATCAACCTCGTCTCCGAGAAGAGTAAGCCAGTCATATGTATACGCCGTAAATGCGATCACTATTGTCGTGCCAAAAGGTATCAGCTTAAGTGGCAGCTCCCCACGGAACGCCTACTAACCGGCCAAGTATCGCGAAGTCTGTACGTCTCGAAACGCCTCGACAAGTAGTTCAACAGAGTTTTCAGAGATCATGAGTGCCAGCTCCGCTCATAGAGCTCCTCAGTCGTGCAGGGTGGGAGAGGGAAAGAGGTTTGGGACGGGAGAAGCATATCATGTGCACCCTTAATGTACATGCTGCGAATCTAGAAAGAATTTCGTTCAGCCGACGCATTATACAGTCGCTAGTTTAATGAACCATGGGGAACGCACCACGCCAGGCACAAAGTGGCCGCTCCACTAATAGCTATATTCAGTTTTGAATACCGAGAAGTGCGCACAGCGTGCTTGCAAGAGCGTTTGGCAGCTGCAAGAGTGTCCTACCGGTACTCGGGTACTCGGTGTCCGACCACGATACCTCGTTTCGCATTACGATCTCGATGGATACAATGATACATAACCATAGAAATAGATGACTGTACTCAAGCCCTGCTGGGGTAAACGTGCCGAGCATCAGGTTGTTAGTAAGTATTACAGAAGAGACGTCTTCCCTCGAGCCTGATGGCCGGCCTCTGTTTCGAAGGGCGAAATGATCGAAACTCTCACGGTCTAGCGCCGTCCAAAGATAGCTCCGGCTGTCCAATCCTGCGCCTGTGTGCGAACTCGTTACGAACAGTCTCTAGAGACTATAGAGTAAGCTTTCTGTACCAGATATTGATTCTGAGATTCTTTTTGATGCAGCCATTCGGAAGGATACGATGCGAAGTGGTTAAGAACGTCGAGTCCAAGTTGGACACTGCGATCAGCACTGGTAGGCAACTTTGCCCATACCCTCTTGGAATTCTTATCTGGATGCGGATTAGAGCGTGTCATCAAACTCGAAGAGACTGAAGCAGCGTCGTCGAACTCTTCCATGAATCATTGACACCATTCCGAGTGATGAAGCACGAGAAGCTCAAACATGCGATAGTTCTTCTCATTCATGAGTCAAGGGGAGCTTGTTTGGAGCGCACTCTCTCTGACCATCGAGTCCAGTCACAACCTAGACATGGCCAGAACTCTCATATTACCCTTTCGCTATCTGACTACTTGAACACGTGCTTCCATGTTCTAATGGAGAACTCTCGGAATGCCTGTTGAATGATATCCCAATTTTATTCCGAAAGGGGGGCGTAATTCTCCTGCAGTCCTTGAACCATCCGAGCAGCGAGATGGAACTGTTCAAGATATGTTTACCGAGGTCTAGGTTATGGTTACTGTCGAGTATACATCAGTCTGGTTGTGTGCTCAGGGTACGCAACCCAAGAAATCGCGCTGCATTCAGCCGAGACTTCTTCCGCCAATACAGTGGGGTGATCTTCACCGCAGCCACATCTTCCCTGCGGTTTGATCATTAACAACCTTCAGGACGGATCGAATGGCCAAATCCCAGAATCACAAGGCAACGAGATCAGCTTCTTGGGGTACCATATTCTCTACGGCACGTCTCTGGAGTGTTTCTAGTTCGCGGGGATTTTCTTCGCGGTATCAAAGTTGAGAAATTGATGAGCCCAGCGCTCAGTTTCCACAATCTCACATGTGATTTCTCATGATCATTAGTCGAAACGCGTCTCATTTAGGCACAGAGGACCTCAAGTCGAGCGATTTCCCCGCACCCCTCCAACAAAAACCAGTTGAGGGAAGCCTCGGCGGAATTCAAAGCGGCTTACCCACACCTGACCTCTTCATCTGGTCCTCTCGAAATATTCGCCCACACCTCGGTTGACGTTTGGCAGCGCGTGAAAGCGGTGGAACCCTTCTCGCCACTTCTCGGATAGCGTGCCCAGATACGCTGGTTGGTTTAATTATAGCCAATCGTCAGTATTTGAGGCCTCATCTGCCGTAGGGTACTCCAACCCAACCATTTCCCTTTCTCACCATGTTCTCGACACTCTTTGGCCTTTTGGCGGCTGCTGGCGTCGCTCTTGGAGCACAGAATTCACTGCAGCAGGTGACCAATTTTGGTGCTAACCCCAATAATGTGGGGATGTATGTTTACAAGCCGTCGAAGTTGGCCAATCCAACGCCCTTGATTGTCGCCATCCACTACTGCACTGGTTCTGCCCAAGCATACTTTACTGGCACGCAGTATGCCAACAAGGCCGACCAGTATGGGTTCATTGTCATCTATCCCGACTCACCTCGTAGCGGAAAATGCTTCGGTGTGTGTAAACCTGGATTTACGTCCTCTCACTCACCTTACATTAGACGTCCATAGCACCGAAACACTGACCCATAACGGTGGTGGCGACTCTCAAGGTATTGCATCCATGATCAAGTACGCTATCAGCAACTATGGTGTCTCCTCGTCCCGTGTCTATGTCACCGGAACGTCAAGTGGGGCTATGATGACCAACGTCATGGCTGGATCCTATCGTACGTTTAAGTCTCCCAAATGAAGGCTGCTTCTGACATCGCGTCACATTTAGCCGACCTCTTCCAAGCTTCGTCTTCCTACAACGGCGTTCCATTCGGTTGCTTTGCTGGTAGCTCCGAGTGGAATTCTGCCTGTGCTCAAGGCCAGATAACAAAGACTGCCTCGGCGTGGGTGAGTACAACCCCCGTGAAGGCAGGCCCACATTGAAATTTTACAGGGAGACCTTGTTAGGGCTGCTTATCCTGGCTACACTGGCCCTCGTCCGAAGATGATGATCTGGGATGGGACTGCGTAAGATTATCCGCACATGTTGATAACGAAACCAATGCCCATCAGGGACACCACCCTCAACTATGCCAATTACGCAGAGATGCTCAAGCAGTGGACCAACGTCCTTGGCGTTAGCCAGACCCCAACAACAACCTCGACTAATAATCCTCAATCCGGCTATACCAAGACGACTTATGGTGACGTAGTCATTGGCTATTCTGCTCAAGGTGTCGGCCATACCGTCCCCGTGCATGAGGATATTGAGCTGGCGTGGTTCGGTATCACTGGTGGCAGTACCTCGTCCACAGTCTCTTCCAGCTCTTCCAGCTCACAAGGTTCGACTCTCTCGACGAGCACCACGACGTCTCGGCAAACAAGCACCAGCACCAGCAGCGCTGCTAGTGGAGGCCAAACACTCTGGGGTATGTTCATAGATGCCGAACTGGTAAATTTCTCTAACCTTGTCCAGGACAATGTGGCGGACAAAACTGGATTGGTCCAACGACATGCTCTCAAGGTACTTGCAAGTATTCGAATGGTAGGCTCTTGACTATATTAATAACTATTCTCACACATTTCTAGCTTGGTACAGTCAATGCCTCCCCTAGAGGCGCACTGCTGAAGACGCGTTGTCTCCGGGATAACTACTTCTCTGGCTGGACGCATATCAGGTCATATTATGTCATTTTCTTAACAGTGTACCATTCATTTTACTCTCACATCTTTCCTCTGAGCACACTCCGACGCCGGAGAACGGAGTGTAGCTAGATTGTTGCACTCTGGGTAGATATGAGATTGCGCATTCTAGGCTTTATATAAGAATTGAGTATAGTTAGATGGCAGCCTCACTCGCGCCTTCCAATTTAGATCCCCAAGGTCCTGGAGGCCGTTCGGTTTTAATAAAATCGAGCGAGGATGAGAATTGAGAAGGGAAACGCAGTTAGGCACCAACATCAAACTTGTCGTGTTGCCTTCTACATTATCTAAGAAGTCTTCAAGCCAGACGGTCAAAGGCTCAAGCTAAGCGACTTACAGAGTAGAGGAAGTGATGGATTTTATTATTTGGGACTTCTCATATAGCAGGGATCACCTCGCTCAAGAGTACCTTTGCAGTCGGTTGGTCCATGAGCGTCAAATTTATAGAAAAGTACAATCATACGCGTAGTATATTATGCCATCATATTACACATTTTAACACCATAAATAAGCTTAATGAGATGTGGCAAATTTGTTGTCATATCTCGATGGTGGCGTCGCCTTGATTGAATCATGGAATCATACCCAAAATCATTTGCCGATGGCACTATTCAGAACATGTCACGCGATAGATGGACAGAAATCCCAACGGCCGCTCGCCGCAGTGTTAAATGTATTCCAACGTGTATTTCCACAATACAAGGCACTGAAAACCACGCCCACCCTGCAAGGACGCTGACGACAAGGCGCACCAGGGCCCCGCCGGATAAAATGCATGGGCGGAGGCGGGATGCGATGAGCGTATAGAGTCCCGACGCAATTGTAGAACAGCTCCAACCCGCCCTGCAACTGCCGCAACCAAACAACGCGCCCCTTCACCTTCAACCCCAACACCTTACAGCGCACATCTCGTCCAGCTGCTCCCATTCCTACTTTATACTCTCTAAATGGACATTGCTCACCTTTTCGCTCCTGTTCGTCACGATTTGCACGAGATTCATGCAAATGCTGATCCAGGCATCCACGTCCACGTTGCTAGCGAGGATATGCGCAGGCTTTGTCTCCAGCTCTGTCCAGAAACGGGTCCTTGGGCACGATTGAGGTTGCATTTTACGGTCGAGTTGCCGTCAAACTGGGTCCGTCTTTTTTCGACATTTGCCACATCATTGTCCGCCCTTCCTGCGTCCGCCAGCGGCGATACGAGGGTATCATGATGCGTAGATCGTATTCCTCCGTCGAGTGGACGGTTTGATGACCGTTTTCTTCATCCTCGCTATGGGCCGCGTCGATACTGACAATGTTGCCACTTCTTTTGCCGTACAGCCCGCGAGCCCACCGCGCATCTGGTGTACCAAAAACAATATCCAACATCCAAACATCCTTGAAGAGGGCCTTGTATGCTGCGACCTCTTTCGTGAGACGGCCAGCGGGTATTCGGGCACCAAACACGTCGGGTACGTCGGTGAATAGTGTTGAATGGCGTCGATTGCTGATCTGGAAATGTTAAAGATACACTCCGGGGTATAAGCTGCGTGGTGTGTTCCAGCAGTTGCTCGCCCTCTTTTCCTCCGAGTTTATCAACGACAACTGGGGTTCAGGCGGCCAGCATCTTGGAAATGCTGTGATTGAGCATTTTGTCTCCGAGACGGATCTATTGCGGCCGTTTCGCTACTCACACCCACTCAGCGATAGGCGGGCCATGTACCCCTATGTTGAGAATGAGGAACGGCTGGAGAGGTCGTGGAATGAGGATGATTCGGAGGACGTATTGATTATGACCTATCAATGTGAGGACGGAACCGAGATGAGACAACTCACCAAGAAGAGCATGTTGCGCGGTCAAGAGCCCCAAGTACAAATCCCGCGCAGCATGCATCCTCAAGCACAATGCAAACCATCAGTTGCATCTCGTGTTCCCGTGTCCTCGCGTGCCTCAAGATCTGCCTCAAAGGGCCCTCCCCGCATTTTCAAGTTTGAGTCGCGGAACCCGTACTGGGAGCGAACGCGCCGCAAACTGGCATCTTTTGAGTGCTCTGAGTGTGGTTATGGAAGTGATTCCATGCCACATCATTCGCCTGGCGGGATTTTGTCTGTTGGACGAGAGTCGAAGCCCGCCTACATGGTGCCCGCGGCGGTCAATCAGCTTTCCCGACTCAAAATGGATGTATTACACGTCCTGTGCGATTTTTTGCCCGACGAGTCCCTCCGAGCGCTCAGCAACGCGTATCGGCCCTTTGACGCGTTTTTGCGCCGTACAAACGTCCTCCGCAGGCGCCAAGTGCGCTGTTTCTATCTCTCCACGCCCTTTGAAGATTGTACAAAGCCCGAGGGAGCGCCAGAGCCAGCCTCGAGCGAGGTGATGGGCATTGGCATCTCGTTGGAAGGTGCAAAGTTGTCTTGCCCCACTCTCCTCGACGGCTTCCTCTCTGAAGCCGCGTTCCAGAAATGCGGCGTAAGGAGGAGTATAAGGAAAAAGGAGTTTGGATTCTTCCTCCCGCTTGCTCTCAACTATCGACATTTCCAGCAGATCAAGCCCCGCGTCTTGGACTGCCTGAAGACGCTCAGCGCAGAGGTTGCACTATCAGAACCATATCGACGCGAACATGGTTTTGGAAGCCGTTCTCATCGTCCAACGGCGGCTAGAGGACCTGGTTATGTGCGCGGAGCGACTCCTGCGATGAACACGAGGAGTGCGGTCCAGGCAGATGTGGACAGTGTCAACGTCCTGTACAAGTTTCTCAATGACGCGGTTGGGACGTATATGCGCACTTGCGAAGCCATTCTCGACGCACCTCCTGCAGCGCTACGACGTCGTGGCGACATGGGAGGCAACTCTCAGAGTCACCCGCAGGATGAAGAATCATATTCTACCAGTTTGATGCACGCAGCGGAAATGTTTCTACCCGTTTATTGGCAGATTATGCATCTCCTCCTCTGCCTCTGCCGTGATAACCCAGCGATCCTCCGAGCGGCCCATACACGAGTACGACAGTTTATCGACAGTCCGGAGAAGCGAAGCAAAGAGTATGAACCCGAACTCGGGGAGCTCTTGGTCGTAGCGGCGTTGGTCTTTGCATGCCAGGACGAAGGATTACTCCCATCGAAAGAACCCATCGAATCCGCCCCTGATCCACCTCCACGCCAATCTCAGCGCCTTCAGAGAACTCCTGGAAGTCGAACAAATAACCTCCTCCGCACACCGAATAAGCGACGAGGCGCGTCCGTGGCTCCGAGTCTTGCTGGCTCTTCAGCCTCTCAGTCCTCCAAGGACCAGCATATTCGCTGGTCGGAGCACTTTGCTGGGCCCCTCCTCCAAGAGGCCATGACTCGCGGTGCAAAGGGCACGGTCGAGCATTCGCCCGATTTGCAAGTTTTCGAGACTGGTGCTTCGCCGTACCGCATCATGCGGACTTTCCAGCACTGCCGTGGGCCATTACGACAGCTTGCGCTCCAAGTGTCGATGCTCGCCGTGTTCAACTACTTCACAGGATCACAACCCGGACCCCACCATCAACAGATGCACCTCGATCGGTCGTTTGGCAACCCACCGCCAGAAGCCATGCACGCACTCACAGAAGAAGTCAAAGTCGTGCATCGGCTCTCCACGTGGGGAGAGCTCTTCACCAAAGTACAATACGAAAATGGGAAAGCGTGGAACGGAGACGAACTTTCCGCTGCTTTACGACAATGCATGCTGCTCAGCGAGCAGCGAGGGTATCATACAAACCAGCATCGGCATGGGGATGCGAGATCGCGCTTGGCTCAGATTAGGGAACGCAAAGAACGGGATTGGACACGGGATCATGCTCGGCGTGTGAGAAATCAGCGCTGAGAATCGTCTCATTTGCTCTGGTTGACTTTCTTTTCGACACTACCTCGCGTCTGTTCTACAGGCTGCCACCAGTGTCGAATCGAAGCTGCTGAGCAAACCCAAGCCAACTCACTTCCAGTGCTCCCAATCTAGACCAAGCAAATTCACGCTCATCGTGCCGAGCAAGAGACACGGAATCTCTTCCTTTCAGGTAACATAGATTATCACGCCTATTCTCAATGTCCCTCATAATCTACAATCTCGCCGTTGTGCCATACTGCGGACACTTTACTCGTTCTGTCACATACTGTATCTTTGAAATCGAGCATGGTCAGGTTTCCCCGCCACTCTGTTGCAAGTGAATCGCTAAAATGAGAATTCGTCGTGTTTCCCAACACAGCTCGTAGTCACGGGCTTCGAGCGGCTGGCTGCGCGCGGCCTTGGGCCAAGCGGCTTTTGGACCTGACTATCGCCGTGATTTAGTGCAGCTGTCCTAATATCTTAGCCAACGTACGGCGACACCACTGAGACACAACTTATATATCTCATATGCTTGTTACGGACGAGAAAGCACGACAGCAGCCAGCCGAAGGGACAGCAACGGTTGGCGGATCTCCCACACCTCTGGTAGCGATGTAACTTACCTGTTTTTAGGACATTGTCGAGCCAAATGAACCACAGGATGCTGAACCTCCACCATATGATGGACCTTCGACGTCTGCCGCTCCCCAAGGCGCACCGATGCCGAGTACAAGCATCACCACGAGCTCAAGCGGCGGAGGCGCGAGGAGTAATTACATCCAGATCATCACACCCCACAAGGCGATCTCGGAGAGCTTTCATATTGACGTCTCTCGCCCATTGTTGCCGCTCTCTGGACCTTCACGTTCAGAGCCAGAAGATTTCAGTACTCACGATGGCTCACGGCCCAACCTCTTCGTCTCCTCCGATTACCGCTCCGTGAATGCCACTTGTGAAATCTCGCGCTCCAGTCCTCTAGACGGGAACCTTCAAAGGGCCTTTATTGTAGCCCAAAGCGAGCACGGCAACGTCACCGTCGGCATTACACGCCGCGATCCTGGTACGAGCGTACATATCTGCGCAAAATCGAATATTGGAAACATTATCATTCGCTTGCCAAAGGACTTTGTCGGCCCTATCAAGTGTCGCAGCAACTCGATCATCTGCGCCAGTCCTCAGTTTAGGATCACCCCCAAAGTCAAGGAAAAGATTACCATGTACTCCATAGATGAAGCAGCGAGGGAGGCTTACGCATTCATTGGCGACCCGATACAGATGCTAGCGGAGTCCCCCTCCCCTGTTCCTGCGACCCCTATCTCCCCTACAGCCACGATAGCAAGCACGACGGTGGAGAGTACTGCTCCAGGTGATTAGCATATGCTTCTTGACGAGAATTTGCTAAGATCTCTCAGCAGGTTTTGGATACACGAAAGTGCGATCTCTCGTCCCTCCATCCGCCTCTAATGTAAGCCCGCGCGAGATGCCATCCGGCACAGAGTGGGCTGGAGACCAAATAGAGATTATAGCGACTCATGGGCGCGTCAAGATATGTTATGCGCTTCTCGAAGGCGAGGAGAAGGAAACCGACGCCAACGAGCTTCAGACGATCGTCCGACATATCAAGGAGAACGGTCCCATCGCAGCGCTCGTCAAAGCCATTTTTCGAAATGTTAACAAGGCAGTGCAAAATTCAAAGAAGGAGAAAGAAAAGGAAAAGGAGACGTCATGAGATATTGAACGTCGGCCCATACGATAGACATGCATGTATATCTATTCGGATTTGCTAGGTAATTGATAGTTGCGATTCGTTCAACTAACGGATACCGAGTTCTGTAATGTGGTGAGATGCGCCATGCCGCATGCGCCGACCTCTGGATCAGGACTTCCGACAAGCTTGTACTTTCTCGCTTGATTACATCCCTGTACAGCGCATGTTGACGCTGCCTTTGCCGGCAATGGAGGTTCTGGATCACTGATCGACGTTGCAGCGAGTAGCTCGGTCGGGATAGATAAAGAGATGTACGGCTCCTTCTCCTTTGGCACCGGCCTTTCTTCAGCAGACCCGGATTCATCGACTGTTCCAGCCGTTGTTGAAGGTTCAGTCCCAGGCTTGAGGCTGTCGTCCTCAACGACAATGTCCCGCATGCCGCTGATCCAGCGCATATAAGGGATATGCATCTTGACTGGTGGAGGAGGTAGACGCGCCCCTCTCCCCCGGCGACCACGACCTCTCCACCCGCCTCGCCCTCGCGTCGCTGGACGCTGTGGAGCACCAGCACCCGTCGTTGGACCATTCTCCTCCTCTTCTTCTGCACCGCTCGTAGTTTCGTTGCCCTCGCCTGCTTCGGTCCCCTCTCCAGCCGCACCCGTTGGCTCCCCTTCATCTTCACCCGCGTCTTCCCCCTCGGGTGTAGGCTCTTTCTCCTTTTCCTTTGCCGCTTGCTTGTTTGCCCAGCGTCCTCGTTTGCCACCGGAGCCTTTGTTGATGAGACGGTTGATGATCATTTGCTTCTCGTCCTCTTGTCGTTGTGCGCCCTTGAGCTTGCGTTTTCTCGCCGCTTCTTCACGGCGCATTGCAATCTCCTCTTCTGTCCATTTTCGCTTGCGAGGATTGGGCGGTTCCTCTGAGAATAGTGAGCATTGGCAGGTAGGCTACGTAGAATGAGCGTACCAAGAGAGACGTGCTCTACTGGACCACCTCCACCAGCGAGAGCAGCTTGACGTGCCGTCATCCGTGTTGGTTGCGCAGTGGGGACTGAAGCAACAAAATCGGCCTCGGCATCTTCCTCTTCCTCCTGTTCCTCCGCTTCGTCGTCGGAAGCAGCTAGACATCGCATTTCAGAGCGGTGAAACGAAACAATTAAATGCGAAATACCAATGACACGACTCTTTCGCCCTCGCTTTCGCGGCATTGCGTACGGCGGCGTTTCTCCTGGCGTTGATACTGTTGTACCACCCGACTTGCCCTTTGGAGCACTAACGTTGAGCTTTATTTTGAGCCCCGTCTTTTTCTATCGCACGCTCAGTTGGGTATCGTTGAAACGACGGCGGATTAGACTCACAGGCGTCTCATAGGCATAGTCGTCTTCATCCTCATCGAGTTCGTCTACATCATCCTCATCTTCATCCATATCGTCCATTTGCTCTTCTTCGTCCTCGTCGTATTGCTCGTCTGGCAAACCGCGAATGAGTCAAACAATCGCCATTTCAACCCTCGAATATACCTTCTGGAAGCTCATCACTTTCTTCATCCTCGATAATTCGCCTCGTATAGCGCTTTGCTGGCGGGACTCGTGGAGGCATGTCGAGATGGTTAGACTCCAAGTTTACTCACTATGACTGCCAGCCAATTTTCGTAAATCAGACTTTCATAGAGAGTCAGCAGTGATTTCACAACGCAAGGATTGTATTCAACAATATAGATAAGTAACTATGCGGCCCCCTCGTGCAACAGTACAAACTCCCTCGTAGATGTTCCAAACGTAATAACTAACCTGCGTCAGATGCTTCTTCGAACAAGTCGCATACTCACCATCATTCAACTTGAGCTCATAGTACCGCGCTGGAGGGATCTGTTCTCCGTTGACATGTGTGCCATTGGTCGACTCGAGGTCAATGATAAACGGCTTGATGACACCCTTTTTCTCTCCAAATTCGTTCTTCTCTACGACGTGTCGATACTGCAGTGCTGCGTGCTGCTTTGAACACGATGGATGATCAAGTGGGATATCGACAACCTAGCCTATGATCAGGATGTAGTCTTTTGGATAGGGAGACTGCTCACCGCAGCATCACGTCCGAATGTATAAGCGCTTTGCCGATAGATGGCCAACATAGCTAGGTGCAAATCAGCACAAGCATTCGATTACAAGGTGATCACCCACAAGTATTCTCATCGTCCTTAAACTCGTACAGCCTCCAATGTTCCAATGGCTTTCGCGCTTCTGGCGGTTCATTATACTTGAGAACAGTGGCAGAGCCGTCTGCTCGTTGAACAGTATTCGTCGCCGCTGCGAGTAGGCCAGAGTTTCCATAATTGGGCTTTCGTCGCTCTTCGGCCTTGCGTTCTTCTGAATTGACAGACCTATTCCACACATCAGGTGGGTTCTCATCCAGGGAGTTGAGCCAATTACCGAGATCTGCGAGACCGTCAGAACAATGAATAGTCAGACAGTATCACCGACCTAGACCTTCGCTCGACGTCTCTATCCTCATATCTCATCACTGCATCCGATTTCTCCTGTTCTCCATCACGATGGCTTCGGTGACGATGATCCCTTTCGCCGCGCCTCTCTCCATCGCGGTCTCTATCCCTATGTTCATCATAGTCTCTTCTCTTTTACTCCCAGACGCATATCCATCATCTCTACTCCGACTACGCCGTCGTTTCCGCGCAGGACTCCCACTTCTACTTCTGTACTTGTCCTTGTCCGTCCGAGAGCGGTCACCAGAGTACCTGGATCTTGAATAGGGCTCGCCGCGAGTATATTTATCCTCTCTCGACCTGCTTCGACCGCCAGCACGGCGGCTAGATCCTTCCTCTGCATTTTCCGCTTCTTTCGCTCGTCTTCCAGCCCAGCCACTATCCCGTTCTCGCGTCCTTCCAGAACTCCCATGTCTGTGGTCATTATATGACTGACGGGACGAACGCGGGGAAGGCGAGCGTCTCGAACTCATGATAGTCGGAGTCCAAGTTTTAACGTCAACAAGCCGGTAGCAGACAGACAACAACAATGTATAACAGAGCACTAGCGAGGAAACTGCAACATTTACACACACAAGACTGTAGCACAAATGGGAACAGTGTGGTTGGGGCCTTTAGTGGGTGACCGTCTCCTCCTGGACATGAACTCCTTGACTGAAATTGGTCCTAGTGGGCGAGAGCACAATGCTATTGGAGCGACTATGCTTCCTCCTTGGAGCACCAGGGGCCGGGGGTGCGTCCGCGTCGGGCACCTCTTCGTTATGCACCTCTTGCTCGCCCGTCGTCTTTGGGGGAGCCCACTGGGATGCGGGTCGACGAGCAGCGCCAATAAGGCTTTGCGCACCAAACGCAGTCGACAATCCGACGAAAAACGTGAAGGCTAAGAGCAACGCGGTGGCAGAGGCTGGTGTCTTGGCGGTTGCAAACGAGGATGCAAGCGGTGTAAACACGAAAAGCGCGGCCGTACGCACAAACATGCATGGCGTGAGATGGTAGAGAATGGGCTGATGCATAATCTATTTATTCCCCGGGGGACAAAGATGTCAATTATGACAGGCGACGAATGACGCGGAGAGATACGTACCGGATCGCGGACGTCGTGAGACTTGCTAAAGAGGTGGAACGATATGGCGCGTGTGGCCAGTCGTTGGAACAGGAATGCATGCGCGACAATAGCAGCGCGGTAGAGACCATTGGCGACGTTGAGCCAGGCATGGAATTTGGACACGACGACGGGAGTATCCAAGACGGCTTTGCAGAATACTCCGAGGTACGCGGTGATGAGCAGGGGGAATGCAAAGAAGAGGAACACCTCCGTCCATCGCATCAGTTGTCTGCGCTTGGCCGACGAAGTGTCCTTGGATTGGAGTCCGCTGATTTCCTTGCGTTCGTCAATGACACGTGATGCAGATGCATAGATCAAGGTCGGAGCGAGGCCCTGGGCGAGGAACGTCGTGATCACAACGCCGACAAGGTAAGCCTGGGACGGTGGCGGGGCTTCTGAACCGGTGGCGAGAGTGAGCGCAACGACCATGATATCAAATGCATAGCCCAATGTGAGTGCAGCAGTCGCTGTCACGAGCAAAATGAGCGAGACGCGGGGCGCAGTTGGCTGGCCAGCATTGCTCCTTCTAATGGCATGAACTGCCTGAATGACCTGGAGAATGCTGATAATCAGCAGAATGGCGAGCAAGACGACGAGCGCATATGCGAGGCCGGTCGCAGAAACGGCCATATTGTGGTCGAGTCGAAGCCTAGACAACTTGGGGTTGACGCCATTGACCAGCATTCACCCATCATCTAGATGCAAGTAAAAATGTTTATATCATTACAAAATACACTAGTTGTATCACACAACTTGACCGCAATCGGCGACCGCCGCAACTTTACAAGGATTGCCAACAATCTCCGCATGTCGGGTGGTTCATTGTATTCCGAAAACAGAGGTCGAGAGGGGACCTGGTCCCATGAGCGCACTAGACGAGATGATCGAGCCACCGACAAGGGTGGACTCAAGCATCCCGCCGAGGACAGATAGCTCAAATCGCACCTACTACTGGTCGGGACACTGCTCATCGTATGCGGCACCCGACCCCAGGGCAGCCCAATCTGGCAAGGGTGCACCCAGTAGTCTCAGCACGAGGCTCGCGCCGTCCCGTAACGAATATAAGCACCTACGGGGGCTCAGCCATGTCCAGACTATCTTTCTAATTACCTTCTCTTTTTACATCCACCCCCCTAACCCCCCCGTATACTCTCAGCCGTCCGCGCCGCTCCCTCCCGGCTGCGGCCAAATTTTCCAACGAGACGTATTCGGGTCTGTCATTAGTATTGGAAGGACTGCGAGCAATAATGCCTCGCATCTTCTTCCGCTTCCCGGCAAAGGAGCACCAGCAGCAGGAGCCGCTGACGCCCTCTCCTCCCATCCTTCCACCCAAGCCCGCCGTGGCCCGACCTGGTCCACAGCCATCCTCTCAAACGGCATCAATACGCTCTCGTCGCATCACCAGCCCCATATCCGTCGCTCACCCAAGCCCCGATCAAGCGACAGCTGGTCAACAGAGGGGACCGACGAGATTGCCACACCGCGTCAGTGTATCTGATTCGTATGCACAGGGTACAGCATGGAGAGCGTCCTCGACTGCGCCGCCGTCGGAGTCTGCGCCACCTCAGCTCGCTCCCCGTTCTGCTGGTGTCAGTAGCAGTGCGTCACCTGCCTACCAGCCCGCAAAGAAGTCCAGTAAGGGAGCCCAGAGTCCCTTACGACCACTCCGTAGGTCCAAGGGTCATCAGCCCATTGCCAACGAGCGGGAGAGGCGAGAGAGCGAAAAGGCCAAAGACGCGGCCTCTGTCGCCGCTGCAGCCGTTTCGGCTGCACTACAGGAGGAGACTGCCCAATTAAAGAATGAGATCAATCAAGATACGATCAGGCTCACCCGGATTCGGCAGCGCCAGCAAGCCATCCGCGAAGAGCGCGAGCGTGTCGCTCTCGAACAGGAGAAGCGCGCCCGATCGCAATCCAGGGAGCCACCGATCATACCCACAACCACCAGCAATGCGTCGGTAAACAACACCAGCAACATGTATAATGCCCCCCATAATATCAATCATGCCAATCCTTATGGAAAATGTCAGTCTACGCCTGTATTACCGCAGAGTCAACCAGAATGGATTCCTTACGGACACTATCATGCTCCAAGAGGAGGTGCACGGAGCACGGCACAGTCCCGCGAGTCGTTCCAGTCAGCGTCCAGCCAGGACAACAACACCGACTTTCGTCGCGTACGTACACCGAGCGCGTCTTCGAATGATCGGTCACCTCCCCCGTATCACTACCACGGCGCTCATGCGTCTTATTCGCCGCCAAACGCCAGCCAGCAGCAACACTGGCAAAAGATGGAGCAGGCCAGAAAGGAGCGTGAGAGGGAGAGGGCCATGGCGAGGCTCAAGGAGACGAGAGAGCTTGAGCGAAAGGCCTTTGTGGATGCGTGGGCCGTGTACGAGAGTCGGTGGATGCTCTTGACGTATGCGACGCGTTCGACGACTGTGGGAGGTGCACAGTCAGCCAAAGCGCTCACATTGTCCTTTTTCGACATACCTTGGCCACTCTTGCATCCTCCTCGAGGGTGCGAGGACATTACGACTGCAGCGATTCGGCGCTTCATCGCTTCAGAGCACCAGCAGGAGAAGGACAAGACGCACCGCGAGAGAATCAAAGAGGCTCTGTTACGTTGGCACCCAGATCGATGGACTCGTATCCTCGATCATGTCAGAACAGACCATCGAGAGGAAGTGAGAAAGGGAGTCGACATTGTCGTCAGGTGCCTCAACGAGCTTCTGCATCGGCAATGAGAGGGATAAATGCGTGTCAAATATCATCACTATGCAAAACACATATTATACACTTTTCAAATGTCAGCAATCAGTCCATAGGCGTAAGAGCGACCTACCAAAGATCCTCTTGCAAATCATTTGCGCCGTCCGCATCTCTCCATTTGCAGATATCTTCGACGAAGGATCATCATTCGTATGATGAAGAAGATTAGGATCAAGCCGGTCAGCCCCACCCCCAGACCGATTCCAATGTGCATTCCAGTCGAACCGTCTTCTTCGTGCTGTGGTAGCGTAGCTCCGGGAGTTGAAGTTGCTGTTGAGGATGAGACTATTGTCGGAGGGACTTTGTCCATTGGGATCGGGTTGAGTCGACCCGTGAGGTAGGTGTCTGTCGTGTATGACTCAAGCGTGCTGGTTGGAGCAGAATATTGTACAGCGACCATTTTGAGTATGTACGATGTACGAATCGCGGCGAGGGAGTTGGTGACTGTCAGAAATAGACCAGGGCTTTAGTACGCCTCGAAGCGGGCATGCCCGCGCTCATGTTCCCGTATTGTACAGGCATGTGTCGGAATTAGAGAGGGCAAAATAGAAAGCGTGCCAGCAACCAGGCAAAACGATGTAGCTTCTCGGCGAGCAGATGGGCTGCGGCATTGTGGATATGCACAGCCGCTGTATATCGATGACACAAGTCGTTCGAGATGTACACTTTGTTGTCGCTGTCTCCCACGCTGCAGAGGCGTGCGCAAACGTCTTGAAATGGGCGCGCTGCAAACAAATACAACCCGTACTTTGCCACCAGTGAAGCTTGTATGGCGGTCTGAAGAGTTTCCAGAGCTCTTAGAGCCATTCAATTAGGACGAAAGGCCGCAGCTGGTCGAGAACTCGGGCGTTAAGCACGCAGTCACTGCGTCGCATAAGAATTGTAATGGCTGTGATGATTTGTCAACATGTCGTCAGTCTTACTATAGAGTGCTCGGGTCACAGTGTCCACCGGGTCGTGGTTGTTGGGTCCAAAATTCAACTTGGAGATGAACATGTCGCGCATGCAAATTCAGCCGCAAGAGTAATGATACTTTACTTGTTTCCTAGGTCACTGTGGCATCTCGTCAACATTAATTGCCTTTCTCTTTGCTATCATCTCACCGAGTTTGTCGGTGGTGTCTTATAGCCGAATTTCGCATCTCCGACAGCATCCTTGCATGGGAAAATTGTTGCAAGGCGTTAACGGAGATCTACCCACGACTAAAAAGGCGCTTCCCATGACTACGGCAAGGGGTCCGCGCATCCGAATGTTCGATGTGCTCAGCTTTCTCATGACCCCTGCTTAAACTACCCCTCCGCTGTCTCTGCATTCGTGATGCAGCAACTAGCGATTGGGTTCATCTATGCCCTGCTAGCGGCTACAAATGCCCTAGCAGCAGTCCACAGGGTAGACCACAGCTCTTCGGACATCAAATATAATCCTAGTGTGTGTGACTTGGACTGCACAAGGGTTTGCAGGATGCAGTGGTACGTAAACACCGACTAGTGCAAACACTAGCTCATAAAATTGGTCAACTTAGGTGGCTCTCGTGTCTATCCGGTGGTGGCTCTTCGCATCGAACCAAAGGCAACAATACCGAGGCCAGTTTCTCGTTTCGTGGTTCGAGCGTCACATGGTACACACGAACTGCACCAGACGGTGGCATAGCCCTCGTGTATATCGACGAGGCTCTCCCGCCGACGCGAATCAACACTTACTCCCCGGTGGTCGACGAGGCGAAACCAATCTTCAGCAGGGCAAATCTCGACCCTTCAACAACACATAAAATCACTGTTCAATATGATGCCTCGACGTATGTGGAAACCAACACCAACGAAAAATTCGTCGACGTCTGCTATTTTGAATACGACGACAGCGGCGGCTCAGGTGGTTCGGGGGCAAGTGCTCCGGCAACGACGATCAGTGGGTGCGTATGTAGGGCTGGGAAAGCAATACAACATCTTACCGGAAGCCAGGTCCACCTCTTCGTCTTCTTCATCATCTGGAACACGCTCGACTAGCACAACAGCATCCAGTATATCATCCTCTCGCACAGGTACCAGCGGCACTACTTCCCTCACTGGCACATTGTCCAATGGTCAGCTTGTGAGTCTCGAGTCTGGTGTTGGCCATACGGCGTCCGTTGCGGGTGGGCAATCTGCAGCCGTCGGCAACGTCAGTCAAGGAGGTGGAGGTGGGTCAGGCGTCCCAGTATCTGCGTTAGTAGGATTCGCTCTTGGCGTCGTGTTCATTGGTGCCCTCCTTGCGTTGTTCTGGTTTTGGAGGCGCCGAAAACGACGAGCGGCATGGAAATCACGTCATTTTACCGACTCAAAGGAAGAGAGTACGTCCTATCTTGGCTATCCGTATCATATTCTGACCCAGCGAACAGTCCGCCGAGAGCCGGACCTGACCGTCGCGCCAACTCGGGATAGTGCCGAGGGCGACTCGTTACAGCAATACGAGATGCGCATTCCCGAAAAGCTGCGACGTC